ATTAGTGGCACATGCTACTTGGTTATACCGCGCGAACGGACCTAAGGAAACTTTACTAATCAACCGCCCGCGCATGGTCTCGTTTAGGGAAGTCTATTCAGGGAATTATTAAAGCTACAGGTTGGTGCTAACTATCGTCGTCAACAGAAATGGACTACAAGTCTGTAGAAATTAGGATGGACCAAATATATAAGAGTGTCGGAGAATCCCCCGGACGCCACAGATAATTGAAAAGCTATCTCCTCTGAGGCGTGCCATCGAGTTGTTTCCATGCTGCTCGGTTCCACCTCGTGACAGCGACGGCCTGCTGAATTTATATATTTTATCTGCTTTAAATCATGGCTGGTGTATTTTTTGCTTTTTTCAACATGTTTAATACGTGTAGTGCTGCCCCCTGTTCTGGCTGTAAAAGATAGAATTATACACCAGCCAATTCGGAATTTATAGCAGCGTGTTCTCTCCTTATTATGTAGTTCCATGTAGGAATAAAGATAATCGCTGATTAATGCTATTTCTTTACGAGCACCGAGTTGTGTAAACGGGAATTAGTTACAAGTATTGTCAGGGTATAATGGGTCAGGGGTAGCTACAGGGGTCTATCTACTATATAAGAGGCGCGAAGCGCCCTCGTAAGAGGATAGAAGGCCAGGCGTTACTAGTTCAATACTATCTATTACTTGGTCTACCTATCCTAGACACTCACTCTGTCTATGACATCAATCAACGGGTATAAATCCTGACAAGTATTAATATCGGCCCTTTTAGTTTGCTACTCTTAGAGTCTTCCTATGCAAGATCGATAACGATGGGGTTTTATTCATTGACATCTTCATGGGGACTACTTAATAACTACGTTGCGCTTTATAAAACATACTAGACCAGCTTCTCGGATGAGAACATGATGGTTATGATGATTCTGACTTACCGGATTTGTTTGTCCTCACCGGTACGACCGGTAGTTATGGAATGAAAAGTAGAACTCATATGGCAAGTGCAACTGTATGGGTGGCAGCTGCTATGGAAGGTGGTTGCCTTAGTTATTACTTGTACATACCTAGGTACCTAGATACCTATAAAGTACACGGTAACTTAGCCTCGTTCTTTCCTTTACACTTGCTCTTATATTTTCCCTCGCACTTACCCTCCTACTTTCCTTCGCACTTTCCCTCGCAGCTTTTTAATTCTGCCGAAAGAAAGCATTAACACCTTCACACCGCCAAATTTACAATATATTTTGAGCCGTGGCACATCAATAACTTTCACTTCTTTTTTACTCTTTCTACTTTAACTTTTCTCTTATCCCATCATATCCCATCTCACCTTAACCTAACCCAACCTAACCTAACCTAACCTAACACAACTCAACTTAACCTAACATAACTCAACTTAACCCAACCTAACCTAACCTAACCTATTCCTACTTTTCAACTCACCAATAACACGCAAAGCGCACAACTAAAGGATTGGTCTACGAGCCAGGAGCCCGGTGACTCTTCCAACGAGGAGCCCGGTGCCTCTATGGAGGAGGAGGCAGGGGATGCCAAGCTCTTAAGGCTCATAGAGCCAGAAGACAATGATGATGCAAAGCGCATCATAATTGATAGCAGACATTGCGATAGGGCTTTGGAAGCTATCGCAAAGAAGATCCGCTGGGTGTGTGGGGACGAGGGATTGGGCAAAACTAGCGCCATCTCTTTTAATAAACGTATGACCAAAGGATTGGTCTACGGACGAGGTCGCAATAGCAGCGAACCGGTGGTCTGCCATGGGTTGGTAGAAAAAGCCCCCCCCTGTCGCCTCGACTTCGAGGCATCGGAAGCCCACCAACGGGCCTTCCCGCCTGGCAAAGGCAAACCTAATAAAGTCGGAGTTGGGTTGGCTTATCTGCGGATTTATTTTCCGCAAAGGCCTATTACAGATGAAGAGTTTGACGAGATCTGTAAGATGGAGGAGGAGAAGAAGAAGCGGAGCCGCCCGGTGGTAAGTTATTATTTTCGTTTTCCCAACACCTGGTCTAACATTTTGACAGGCTCCTAAGGCGCGAGAGCGCAAGTTGAGCGAAGTAGAAGAGGGGGAGGATTCGGCGGTACGGCCCCAGAAAAAATCGTTTTTGGGAAAGGGAGAGGGAGAAGAGAGCGAGGAGGAGGATTAGTAGAGGATTGGGTTGCAAATTGAAAGTACCGGATTTATACCTGTTAATTGATGTTATACATACCTAGAATGAGTGTTTAAGATAGGCAGACCAAGTGGTAGATTACATTAAATTAGTAACTCCTAGCCTTTTATCGTTACCTTGTAACCTAGTCAGGTATGCATTTTGTCTTGTCTTGTCGCTTCTAGCCTTGTTGCTAGCCCTGTCTCTTATCTATAACGACCACACCACTAGCCTCTTACAGGGTCACCTGCTACCTCGTTATAGCCTCGCTGCTAGTCTCATTAACCGCACGTAATCGGTAGTAGGATACGCACTCCTATAACTACCTCGCTGCTAGTTAACCTTAGGGTTACTTGCTACCGCACTAGGGGGTTTCTTGGCTATCCGTATCTCAAAGACTTCGGCAGTACACCCTTTCTAGCCTCGATCTCCCCACGGTAACCACACAGGCTTTTACTTGTCTACCACCGAGCTATCGGCGACCGTTCCGGAGAGTTATCCTTATTCCAAGGACCTTGGCAGTACTCCCTTTCGGGTCTCGTTTCTTCTTTTGTGGCGACTACGCGGCTAGCCTACCACAGGGTTACTGCTACCGTACCGGGCAGTCTCCTGGCTATCTTCCTAACAAATGGTCTATGCAATTGGATAATAAACGTTACACTTGCAGTAGTACTCCCTCGCGCCACAGTGGAATAGGGCCCAGAGGAAGTGGTCGCGCTCCGCTATGTAGCCTTGGGGTTGTGGTATACCAGCCACGAAACGGTACTTCCAGAAGCGGAACGCGGCGCCTGTGCCAATTAAGGAACGCCGGAAATACCTTCTGGGCGTCGTGTCGAGGCCACCAAGAGCGAGTTCCCATCGTCGACAACCAGGAGGGCCGTGCGAATATATTGGTATCTCGCTTATCGGCTCAGCTGAGAGAGCTGGCGCGTGGGGGAACTTCGTGGGAGGTAGGGTTTTGATGTATTGTGTACACTCATATCTAAGAGAAACAGGCAGGCAGGTTCTCCTGCTTCTATATTTGGGAAGGCATGTTGGGTTGTTGGGTTGGGAATAAGATTTAGCCCAAACACATTCGTCAATCCATCAATCCCTCAATCCCTCACCCTCTGAGGTGACAACGCTCGAGCGGTTTATCAGTCTCACGTATCCCGCCGCGGCCGACCGGCGTAGGAGCTGGAACCGCAGCACGAGATTCTGACCGTCCCCCGCGCCCGGAATTGGCCATCCCCAACTCGAGATGCAGCTCCCGAAGACAGCATAGAATATCGGGCCGCCGGAGCAAGGGTCTCGGTCTTGGCTTAGGCGTTAGGGATAACCATGGGGCTGATAGGCAGGCCTTGTCTAAGCTTACTCGCCGAGCATCATTCCTTTATTTAACAAGTTAAAGGGGAGACTCTATTGCTAACATAAGTGACTACCTAGGTAATCTCCCCCCGATACCTTATCCTGGATACCAAATGAGGCCATCACCCTCGAGAGCCGAACCTAGAGACATTCTCCAGGGGGTATTCCGGGGATGCCGGTTCTCCCGTCAAAGAGCCTCCAGCAAGAAGCCCATCGGCAGCCCCTCGCTGCTCCCCGAGACGGACGAAGCAAAGATTCAAGAAGAGGGATGGATCCAGCCGCTGATAGTCTGTGATAGACGGGGCTTGTTTATACGCTGTTTCGGGGGTTAGATAGAACTTGACTTGATTAATCAATCGCCATTCCAGTGGCCATCGCCCTTACAAGATGTCAATACGGCAGCGCGTCGTGGCCATCCCGTCGGTTACCAGCAGGACAGCGTATCGCGGCCACGAGCCCCAGCACAAACCGCAGATGGCTACATGTAGTTAGTCATTGGCTGTCTACCAGGGAGGTAGGTAAAATACCAAAGCTTTCCTCATGCGAAGTCTGCTCTGCCGGCTTGGCGTGTAGCGCTGAACCCCGGACATCCGAGCCAGGGACGCAGGATTCCTGCGGGCTGCCCAAGACAGCAATTCGCCAGAATCTTCTTTCTCGCGCAGCTCGGGGATCGATGCAGCGAGCTTCGGTCGGTCGGACGGACAGCCGCTCTTTTGGGTAAGCAGCGGGAAAGGCTGAGGCGCACCAGCGATCCCGCGCATCCGACTCCAAAGGGGCATAGGCAGCGCTGAGCTGGAGCGAGGTTCCCGGTTGCCGGCGACTGTCGGCCAATCTGCCGAACAGGAAGGACGCAATCGGCAGAGTCGTCTTCGGCCCATGCCATGCTACTCTGTCTCGTCAATTATCGGTTGCGAATTTCGCGCAGGGGTTTATCTAGATAGGTATATAATCAGGCCCCGATGTAACCGCGATGGGATATCCTCACGGCCAGTGTACCCGTAGCACTTCGCATACCTTCTCAACACTCTCTGACTCTGTTGTTGACCCGAAGCATACTACTCAAAGATGTAGCGACTATTTGTATTCAGTCCTACCTCGGGGGGTCGGGGAGATACAAATTGCGATTGGGTGCTTTGCCTCTGCTACGTGCTCGGCTTATAATTTATTATGCTCTTGTTATAAATTCGAATTGGTAAAATATTTTCTCGATGCCCTTTGCTACAGATTGTCACGTCTCTTATCTGTAGGCCAAGATCTTGTTCGCATACGGCATTCTACCTCCGTAGTGTTTTCTGTCCGATGGGAAAGCTCATACGCATACTATCCACCCATGTTTTGGCATTGTGTATATACCGGCCGGTAACGGATAGTTTCGCCATCATCCCAACCGACCTGCATGCCCTGGCTTGTCTCTCATGTAAATTTCGTGAGCGCTGAATGCAACCCTTGATGCCACAGTTCCATCCCGTCTCTCAGTTTAGTTAATCGAGTGTACGAATCAACCTGGAATCTCGTCGATACTTCTAACGCTGATCTCCTGCCTTGCATTCATTTTTCGTCTCAAGGCGCTGCTAGCTGGATATACTACCGAAACTTTTGTGAGAACCGTGTCGTGCTTTGATCTTATATGCGTGCACTTACAAACTCTTCTTAAGCGATTTGAGCTACCCAAGGGCTGAAGTGTTAGGAGGCCATGCCGCTGCGTTTGTGATTAGCAATTCCTTGCTCGTATGATCCGTGGGGTCGGACTTAAGGGCTGGATTATATTGCATATGATCCCTGGTTTGGAAGAGGGAGGGAAGGGAGATGTTTTACTTTGACAGCGAAGACGAGGAGATTGTGTAGTACCCACCGGATCAAGCCTCGTGTGATCCTCTCAGAACGACTTTCTTGCGTAGCTGAAACTTTCCTGTTTAGGAATGATGAGTTCAGCAACTGGTTGCCAGGGGTATTTCTTCTCATCCCATGCGAGGCCGGCATACTCGACAGGCTGTTCACCCAAGTTTTCAACGAGCTGCGCTTGGAACAAGAACTCGGCATCGTAATTATAATGGAAGTATTGCAACCATCGGTGTAAGATATCGTCGGCGTCTCCTGGCTTCACTGTTTTCTTTGCGTTTCTGTGGACGGAACGAGCCGATATTTCATAATGTAGTCTCCAAAGCGATAGGCGGTTTGCGAATACCATCTCATCGACTCGAGATGCCTGTTTGGAGCCTTGTCCCGCGAGGCCTGAAGCTCATAGTCGGGCCGCTCTTTTAAGTGTTATACATCTCGGCTTTGTCGTTATCGTACATTAGACGAATACCTAAAACCTCTCTAGTCGGTTTGGCGTCGGCAAGCTCGAAAGCTGGCGTGCTGTTAAACTCGATACCTTGAGTCGAATAGTCTCGACCGGCGTCAAACATCTCTCCTTTCACATTGAAGATCTTCATAGCAAAACCTCGCGGTTGGGCAATACGGTCCTGCTCGCAATGCCAGAATTTGCTAGTAGCTCGGTACGTTTAGAAACACCTGCCTGGTTCTGAGCTATAGCGACATGCCACGGGGTATTCTCCGGCCTCCCTGAAGAGCTCGGACAGCTTTAGATGTTTGAGTGGATCTCCTGGTACGACAAACTTTCCCTTGACAATGCCGTGTCTTGTTATACTGGCGCCGTTGCATCTCGCTGATCTGCGCGATCACGGCTCATATCCTCCTCTTCCCCAGGTGGAATCATCTCCACGCCCGCAGCCTCCCAAGATAAATACTTCCTACTTGCTAAATTTGCCCATTGGCTTGAAGCTATCGTGTCGATGCAGATTGGTGCAGCTATCCGCCTTTAGATTATAACCAATTTATTTTCGCAATTCTACCGGTCTAAGACTTGATCATGTAGAGGTGCAGATCTGAGGCAAAATCCAACGACTGCCTAGGCACCCAAGTTTGAACATGACGAACCATACGTAGGTAAGGTCGTGACGTACAAAAGAGGATATTTTCTATGCCGTCATAGATCATGGGCGTAGTGTGCCAGCCAGCCCGCGGCTTCGAACTCTAATGAGAGTTCAGGCATTACTCCTCATAGCTCATATTACCGAAGCAACCTAAGCAGAGACCCGAGCGTGTCGGCGACAGCGACGGTGAAGACGCATTGTATGAAGTATAAACTAGCGTCTCCAATTTACGGGGAAAATGCGTGGCGCCAATAGCGTCCAAGGACGGAACTTCGTATATTTGGATGTTGCTATATTCTTGTCATCTTCCATTTCATTGGCTGCGTCTAGGGTTCGGAACTTGAGCGAAGCTCCCGCTGGATCCGCCATCCATTTTCACGGAGACGAGATTCCAAACGAGCTTTACCGATTTGTGTAAACGCATGTATACTTCCGTATAAATCTAGTTAAATTTCCTAACCGATTCGGGTTTGATGTACACACCCTTCTGCTTCTAGAAATCTACGTGCGTATATGAGACGGCTTCGTGCACTAGCACGTGAAGGAGGGTACCAGAGACCCGGTGGAGTCCTGCTTCAAGCCCAACCTGCTCCGTTGGGTATTCCGCGGCTACTATATGCACGATCTGTTAGGCAGGCTAGCGTAGTAAAACGCAGCGAGTCCCGCGCTTTTCTATTCTCCAGTTGCGCGAGCTCGCATTGCTGATCAGGGCGAATGCCGCCTTGTTGATCACGACGCGCTGGTTTCCCAAGGGGAAGAGGTCCATGATAGATCACCGCCCGGCCACTTGTCAACCTTTCTTGATCGTATGTAGGGAGGATTCTTACCGCGTTATGCATGATAAGCTCGTGGCAGGTTGGCTACCTAGGTAGTTAAATATGAACCAAAATGAGGACGAGGCTCTGACGAAATGCTGCTTCTCGAAGCTAAGCTAGAAGGACCCAAGGCTACGTACGTGTGGTAAATACCAGTGATCACCACGCTACCCGAGCACGAGGGTTCTTACCTCCCGCAACCGATTGGATTGAGATGGTGTTGGCGTTCCGACCCCAGCTAGCTACAAATTATGTTGACCCGAGTTCCAGCTACTGGTATAGCTGGAGATCGCCTCTACCATCTCGTAATGCCTAATAACCTCGTGACGATAGCCCGCGACCCATTGACGATCTCAAGGGAGAGGCGCAAACCTAGCTACCGGCATAGCTATAGCATGATCGCCAGCTAAGCCTCGATAACACCGAGGGTATCTGGACTAGGCCGCCGCCATCTGATAAGCAGGCAAACTAGCAGGCTGGCAAGGTATGTAGGTTTGTCCGTAGAAGAGTGTGCCAATGCGCCTTACCACACAACAAGCCCCGCTCGCTATGGCAGTACATATGAGCGGACTATGGGAGCGGATGAGAGGCGACGGCTGGTGCTGCACGTGGCAGGCCGCGGACCTAACGAGGCCCCTCGTGATATACCTTTTTGGGGGGTGCGATAAACTAAGAGGCGAGAATGCTCCGGCGACAGAGACTTGGCCCCAACGACCGACGATCTCTGGTACTAGGCTTGGAGGAGACGATGTTTGCGTCTATGATGCGTGATTGGCCAGACGAGTCGGACAAGCATCGCGGGAGCAGAGAGGATCGGCACTTCGAGGACGCTTCTTGTCGGTGAAGTGCATCTTTCCCCCCCCTGTTTCGATGAAGATATTCCAGCGTCCGTGATGCAGTGTGGGATACACGCTTCTGACAAAAGTTTGAAGTGGAGGCGCTTGCGTGTTGTAGGTCGCTATATGGAGCAAGTGCTCTACCCTATTGACATTAGATAGTTCGTTAGTAAGAAGCCGGGTGAGACTTGGGCAGCCGTGTTACGTGTTGATGGATAACACAGGGCCACAATATATAATATCTGGGTGGGACTGGCATATGTGGAAGAAATTGATAGCCGTTGTCGAAGTACGTGAGACGTGCAGGATTCGGCCCTTCGAATTTTTGGATACCGGAAGAAAAGCGGGCGTTACCTTTTAGTCACAGTACCTAATACATAACCAACGCATAGGCGGGTTGCAATTAGGTGGTAGAATACTTATTAATCAGGTATAGATTAATCAGGTATAGCATTATTACACAGCACCATCGTCATTTGTCCCGTCATACGTTAACAACGAGGGAAAATGCGTATGCAAGTATACATATATTTATTATACGTACCTTATAATAAGGGATCTCACATTAGTTTCGACCAAGGCTTGACTGGATGACATTGGAACGTTTGATGAGGGGAAATGGTAACTACAGCCCTCTCAGAAAAGGGGAGTTGGTAAGGGTGATGTCATTACCGTTCCACGACATACGCACAAGCAGCGGCAAGCAGCAGGAGATCGCAAAAGGATTTAGAAATATGACGAAGCATTAAGAACCTAGTAGAGGTTCCGTGGAAGATCTGGGGGAAAGGCTCTGCTCTGAAGAAGCTTGATATTAAGGGGTCTCAGAAGTGCGCTCGGCCTGGCGCGGGTGGCTGATACATATGTATGAGAAGCCATGAGGGCTTCATCGCGGGGAATGAATAGGATTCCTAGGTACTTAGGTAGGTACGTATGCAGGCCCCGGTGAGGATCAGTGAGCCTCTTACGAAGATTGGTACGCATGTCGTCACCGCGATAGATATGGCAAGCAGCCACATGAATAGTGTCGATATAACTGAAAACATTGCCCTTAAATCGACTTAGATCGAACAGAGAGGATGACGGGCAATAGGAACTGGTAACAAACTTGCCGTGAATAGTCTGGCTCAAATGAGGATTTGCTAGTATACCTTCCTATGAAGGCAATGATTCGACGGTGGGTAAGGCATGCAGAAAACGTCTCGTTAATCTGTTTGAATACCTAATCAGACGAGGGCTTCGTGCATGGGGGATATTTTGGGTAGATCTTAACATTTGGATCGTCGTTCTGCTATGATAATCCCAGGCTCCAGCGAGCTCGAGCTGTTTTGAAGTCGTAGCAAGATGGCGTCGCCTTGTCAGCTTCGTCGCCTCGTCGCCTCTATGTATTGCGGAATGCTGAAGCGGCAACGAGTTAACCGTGATAGTACCACACACGTGCATTGCTTATAAATGACATCACCACGTACCTCTCACCTCAAGGCTCACGCCAGGGCGTGGAAAGGCCCCGCATCCGATTTGGAAATGCTGTACTTCGTACCTAGGGTACTGATAGATGGGTGTACGAAGTACTTGTTGCTGAATTGGCCGTACTGTGTCTTCGACTGTACAAGGGCAGCCCAGCTCTGCGCTTCTGCCTCTCAGCTCTGATGCCCCATATATATCTGCCTTGTCTGCTCCCGTCTACAAAATCGTCATCTTCCGGGGACCTGCCCTAGCCCGAAGGCCGTTGAACCGCCCAGAAAAGAGAAAAGACCCGAGGACGTTCCGATTACGCCATCTCTGCGTCGTCTCGAATATTCTTCTTTCGCCCTGTCTGATCATTCTAATCATTTTTCCAAGTTAATCATATGAGGAAGGAGTGCGAAATGGAACATCTTGTTTCATTGATCCGAATTGGGTGATTTAGCGACGACGCAGTTCCCAGTGGTATTCCCGCCACCTCATGGGGTTTTGGCGGATGGCATTTACTATTTTGCCTAACCTGCATCCTGTAAAATCCGAAGGAGGTCACCATTTTTTTAGGGGTCCTTCTCATATCCTCTGAAATTGGCGCCCTGCAGAAGCGGAAGAACAACTTTAATCTGCGCCAAGGGTTATGATAGGCCAGTCATATTCCCTGCCGGCCCTCCGACTCGGGTTGCTATCTTCATCTAAAATGCCTCTTTCTTAGACGTGCATGAGGACGTCTTGAACAGTTCGCTCTCTCGTCTCGGTGCGATGATCTGAGAGACGTGTTCGTCGTGAGGTATGTGACCAACCCGCGGTGAAGTTTATCAAGTGAGCATGATAGGTACGAAGAAGTTCGGGCTCTGCTCCGACCGCCAGATTGTGAAAATCTCGTAAGCATCATGATGGGCCGTTAAACGGAGCCTTTTTGCTTATCACTTACTTAAAACGTATTCGTGAAGCAGGCTTTTAAGATCAGTTGCTCATCACAGGAACCCCTTAGGAACGGTCTAAGATTGCTGTGCTCCATCAACTTCTCTTGCCGGCCCACGAATCTGAGCGCGGTCATTGGCTGAATTGCCTCTAGCCAAGCCCGAGAGGAATCCAGTAGCAATCCCATTCCTCGTTACCACGCCTGTTCGCCACGCCTGTTCGTTCCCCATTCCAAGGGCCACTTCTTATCGAAGACTCCCAATCATGAGCGGTCTGTTGGAGTCGCACAAGCCGACGACGATCCGCGCGACTAGGATATTCTTTATATGGGCGCCATTTAGTGGTTCTCCCTACAGGAACCCTTTATTTTAGATAGCAGTATGTAACTCGGCACTATTAGTAACGAGGAGTTCAGATACAGCTTGTCCTCCGACAACCGCTGTCATGTTTCAGTCTGGGTCTCTCTTGAGCATAAATAGAATCTATCAGAATTTTCGAGGGCCTCAGCAATAATATCGGAAATGTTGGAAGGAGACTAGATAACAAGTGCTTTGCATTACAAAGCATCGAGTGCATCCACTGGACGGATACGATAGAATAGCAAAGAACCTTGAGGCTCAGGCAGTCACATCCTATCTGCCCATGATTTTGATTCCACGTTCCCTCCCGCCGAGATTCGGTTGCCTACGATGGCATAGATGTCCTCAATGTCAATAGCCTCCTTCATCATACATTACAGTCTCGTCAAAAGAGGCTATAGATCCATTGTATGGATGCATTAAGAACGCATTAGATACATCCACGTAGGTACATGTACGTAGGTACGAGACATGGAAGACAGCCGTGGAAGGCATGGACCACGGGCATGTATGGACGTATGGAGATGTCGGAGAGAGCAGCAGCAGGGAAGCAGCACTGGAGCAGCAGAACAGGTACAAAAGCAGGTGTACGTATGTACTTACGTTACGCCTTGGTAAGGCAGGCAGGTACATGGCAAACAAGCAAAGTGGATAGGTACCTACCTAGGTACTCGGCTAATACCGTGCTAGCTTTACTGTGACTATGTCACTCGCCCACGTCCCTGTGCCGTGCCGTAATTCTCTTGTCACATCAGAGACCAAAACAAAAACGTCCTTCTGTCGTTCTGCCGTCCTTTGAACAATTTTGTACCGATCGACAAACGACCCACGAGCTGACTGACCACACAAACTCTCCCATACTCGGCCAGCGCAAAACCCAACCACGCTCACCCTGCCACCCCCCAAAACACCTGCGGCACCCCCGTCCAAGTCCTGAGCTTTAGTCTGGCGATCACTTCAACCCTATGTCGAATTGGTCCCCCCCGCTCGTCCCCGATTCGCAAGACCAGGCCCATTCGAACTCTTCCTGCTTCTCCTCCCTTATTACCCAAAGAGCCCACCCTTTCTCTTTTCCACTACCGTATCCTGACCGACTTATACAACCCACACCCTCGCACGAAGAAATTATAGAAAAAGAGCCAATGTATCCTTCTTGCAGGAATTAGCTAAGACAGCCTCTTGCGCACCTTTCTCTCGTTACCTGCGCCTCAGGCCCGTCGCACACGGACATACCTACGTATTTATTCTACCCGTCCGGACATCGCGGTACCTATTGTCTGTACTGAATGGTGGCGATCTCTCGGAAGCTTGGGTGACGGGAGGATACGGGCGTAAACCTTCACAGCATCTTACCAACCCTTAATCCATTCCAATACCGCGAGCATCACGTCGTTCGCTTTCGCCAACTTAATACTTCATTTCCGCAAACCCTCCGACGGTCTGGACCGGTAGTAGGATTATACACACAACGCGTTCACGATGAGTAGTGATCCCGCAAATACGAAACCTAATCCCCCCGAGCGATCGGATTCCTCGTCTTCATCTTCTGCAGAAACCCAAGGGATTCACAGTCCCGTCCCTATTCGACCGCGCTTGCCTAACCGCAAGAGCAGCGGCACTCTCATAGTTCCTCGAGATTCCTCTCAAGTTGGCCCGCTAGAGCCAGAGCTCGAGCCGGACGATGTCAGGGCGATGAGCCCGCGAAGAACGAGCGAGGATATCGAGGTTATGGGACGCGAGGCTCGGGAAGAGCTTCATAAGTAAGTCTAATTTGATCCGACGAGACTGGCGAGGTTAAGGCTGACGGATTACAGGCATGCGAGGGCGCTGCAGGATTCTCTCTTGATGATCTTCAACCGAATAGAGGCGGTCAAGGAAGAACACGACAAGCTTGACAGCCATAACAAGTTTTTGCAGAAATACATTGGCGATCTAATGAGTACGAGCAAAATCACATCTACCAACCGAGGCAGGAAGTAGGCCGTTGCCGTGAGGTTGCAATGGAGAGGAGGGAGGTTGGACAAACAACGGCCGCCGTGTTGCGACAGCGGCGCCTATGATACCCATACCGATTTGGCGACTTTAGATCGCTACTGGCGCCGAGATTCGAACTCACCGGACTTGCCGGATTATACTATACATTTACTAACCAGATTCGCTCGGTGGCCGCTCGTCGCTTCTGGATTTTAGTAGTTCTTCTCAGCGGGATGGTCCGCCCGGCTAATACGGGAGACTTCGATTCTGAGTGTTTTAACAGTACTACGTATTTGGGGGTGACGAGTCGTACTGTGATTTTTATACCAAGACAGGGAATCCGGTGTTGAAAAAGAGTTTATATACCACTGCCGTTTCATGACTTACATCAGCATCAGGACTACCATTGGATTAGGGGGTGGGTTGAACGGAATTTGGCATCACAAACGGCGTTTGCAATAACGATTTGATTTCGGCAGTCAACCGGAGGCGATTGACCTCGTTGGCAACATGTACGTAGGCGTTGCTCGTCATTGGGACATAGCTTGGTTCGAGCACAATGATTCGCGAATAGAGCCTACCCGTTCATTCGACTGCTGTTCAGGATTTCTCGCTGGTGACGAATAGTATGTTATAGCCTGGCAGTTAGTATGCCCTCACGTCTTCGCTTGCTCCGGAACTGAGCATGCCTGCTCATCTGTCCGATACCTGGTTCGTGGTGCTGAGAAGCTAACATAGTTAGGATGTTTCGCAGTCCTCTCTGCGTTGTATCTACCATCGACGACAGCCACGAGTCATCGGAACGTACCGTTAAGTGAGGCGTCAATTCTAGTCGGGAGACGGGAATCAATCTTCCAGCTTCCAGCTTGGCTACTGGCACTTACCTCTCTCAACAATACGATATGTATTTTATCGATCATGGATATTGATAACGCGCCACGCTGGACACGACATGATTGGCGGAGGCATAGACGTTGCTACGGGTGCAACCGAGGGGAAGTCCTACGACATGGTATTCGCATTGGGTGGTTCAATAATGCAGATGCTGTGATTCCCATGGCGACGCGGGACGGCTGGGTTTGCATGGAAGATAGGGTTGCCGTATGGGTATTTTTACATGCGGTGTAAACAGAACCGTGGGAGTTAGTGGTGCCGTCGGCCGGTCGAAATAGGGGTACAGACGGAGATCTACCTGCTTCGGGCGAACATTCTTATCCAGCCCCGGGGACTTTTGTACCGGCCGAGAAATTTCGAGAATCCTACCTAAAGAGCGGGCGGCAAAGTCGGCGTTGCGACGTTCGCCGGATTCAATCATTCATTCATTACTATTATTATTTTTCTGGCGTGTTATATGCATGGATATTTACACGAGGCTAGGTTATTGGAGATGGGCAGCAGCGAAGAAATCGGAAAGCTCTGGACCATGGATTTAATCTCATGGGAAAATCCAGATTCCCATCAGACCCAACGGCCGAGCGAGTCGAAGCCCGAGGAACGCTTATCTGTGTAACCACACTCGAAGCACGCCCAAGCGAAAGATGATCATCACAACCCCTCTGCTGCTCCCCGACGCGCCCGCTTGGTCCCGTCTCCCTCCTTCTCTCGCTCTCGTACGCTGGGGCCTATAGAAAGATATCTCACCCCCACGGAGGGCTTCGGTTAGTCTACGAGGGCTTTTGGGACGGGAAACAGACGTGGCCTTTTTTTTTTTTTGTCTTCGGGGAGGAATGGACGGGTAGCATTTGGCATGTCCAGTTGACTTCCAGACCAGGGTCCTTCGGCTCTTCTATCGCTTTTTCAGAAATCCCATGAGCTTTTCGCAATCTAAACCTATCCGTCATCTGAGCCGTTTCGTGAATTTGCCATGTGTGTAGGGCGTGGCTGTTAGTCATTGTCCTTTGTTGGGTACTGACGCAATTGGCGCTATTTGTCCTTATTTGACAGGCATTTACCTCGTAGGGACGAATGAGAGGCAAGGGGTTAGCGTGGATGTATGTTTGCTTATGTAGGTACATGTCCCCCTTTCTTGTCCTCTGCCTGCGCACAGTACGCATGAACTATAAAGAAGTATATTATATCAAGCGAACGGTAGCTACTTTGCCGACCTAACGCTTTGTTCTCCTTTTCCTCGTATCGTATCGACCTACGCCATTGTGGTATGTTGGACAGGAGATTCTATGTTCTTGGATGAAGCCTCACCGGTTCTCAGTGGGGGGAGGGTGCCTGTCATCCTAACTGATCCTTGCAAGTTCTTTTCCTTTTTTCGCCTGCGGCATATCGCAGCGGCACGTGGGATGGACGTACGTATGGCTGGAAAGACGGAGAAAAAGAAACAAATGGTATTTTTCACCGCTTCCGCTTCGCTCAGTTATCTCGAAGTACTGTATTGAAGCGAAGGGACGCCGAGTTCCGCCATTCGTTGTTGGACGATAACATGTAACGGTCCATCTAGCCATTGGTCGATGCGACAATATAAGCTGGTTCCTCTCGCTCATTTGTCGCCCTTCGCGATCCTTTGGCTTGGCTATTCCTTTGACATAAACCTCTATTCGACAACATCGACCTGTCTAATCAGGTACCTGCCTAATAAGTAAACTAAGTTGGTTACCTCGCCTGAAACTGTTCCTTATGTACTGCATTTCGACTCGCAGAAGCTGGACAGCAGGTAGCCACTGGTTAGAGGCGGGTTGGGCTCCGAGGTTGTAGCACTAGTCGATGAGTATCCATAAAGGGACGATAAGCAAGACATACATGCCTATAAGCTGCGTTCACGCGTGTCCGGGTAACTTCCAAGGCCCGATATGGTGTCCATATCGGGGCGAATCACAAGAGCCTCATGCATGGAAATTCGGGAAGTATTCCTCTTTGAGGTATCTTAAAGGGGGGTATATGAGCATGATAAGCACAATCATTGGAAATCCTACGTAGTTCTGACAAGCCTAGAAGAGGGGCTACGCTCATTTTCATAGATGACTTTTTATTATAATCTTACCATGATCAAGCCATAAGCTGCACTTCTTTATTTGCCAAATTATCATTCAGCGAGCTTCGTTAATATCATATTGAAACCGGCGACAATTTAACTATCCCGTTAGTTGACCATGTTTAGGATGTCTCGATGATTAAGAGCCAAGAGCTCGTCACATTGTTCTAAGGTTGTAGTGAAATATACGGTCGCGGTACTCTTACGAATTTGTTAAAACTATACAATATTACGAATCTAGTGCTGTTGACGCCTGCTCTATGTAATAGGGCATATAGTTACGATACACCAAGTAATATATGGTCTATATTGGTAACCTGACGTGGTAAGCTGATGGTGTGGTTGAAAGGTCGTCTAATAAATTACCTAGCATTAATCAGCAACATACACTACCTACGCACCGGACAAAATATATTAATAAAGTAACAGGTAACTTATGCATCCCATTATCAACTTGTTGCTGGCCTTTGCCACTTGAAGGCAAAGTCGCAGTTGATATTGCAAGAAAAGGAATGTTATGTATGGATGTATTGCTGAGTTAATATCGAAGATTCAACATCTTGGCTTCGAGTTTACGTGAACGCTCTAGAGTAGTATTTTGCCACCTTGGATCAAGCTACTAGGCTAGAGATGCGTCAAAATAACTGGCGCACAATTATGCTGGTAGGTGCGCCATCCTTTTGACATCCTTCTGCAGGCGAGCATATGTTATCCAAGTAAGAGGCTCAGGAGAGGACCTGAATATAAGCGACGTATGCCGAACCCGGGACCCGTGACTACCGGAGTTCGATGACCCGGGTCCGCACGACCGGCCGGTACATCCCCGGCCTGCAGCATCTGTATATATTAACGGCTAAGCAATCCGATTAGTCGCTCCTTTATCCTCCTATTGGACTACTCCCCTCAAATCCGTCTACGAGCATACAAGTACGCACGTACGCACGTACGCACGCATGTATATGCAGACTCGACAGCGGCATTTATCCGCGTCCTCGGTGACAAGGGGGTAGCACAATATTACACCATCCCAGCCGTAAGACGACGTCAGGTACGCGTCGATTTAGTCGCAGACGCATGCAGCTACCTAACCTGCCGCTCAGCCAATTCCCCGTCGCCACCCAGGAACCGATAGATGATAGCTCACCTCGGCACGGGGAAGAAAGGGGGGAACGACAGGGTAGGGGTTCCCAGTGGCCTAGCGCGTACGACATACGCGCGACATACGTCATTCCCGAGAAATAGTCGAAACGGTTAAGCAGCGAGGACGAGGCATGCGTAGCCTAGCGTGTAAACGTTTTATGACAGGTCCCTTAGGGTACCCAAGACCCCAAGACGCTAATAAGCAGCATGCGTGCGTGTGGGGGAAAAGATGAAGCAGGATGGGGAAATCTCGATCGCCGGCGCCAACACTAAACCAAACAGGCCAATGTGGGGGCCCAAACCGCATGCTGCTACATACTACTACTAAACTCGGTGAAAAGCCAAGGTTGACGAGGCTAACACGATCCCTGTAAGCGTAGCTGATGGCTTAGTCCCTGTCGACCTAAACTAGATGGCGAAGGGCAGCAGCATAGTTAAATCATAATGGTACGACATATAGAGGCTAGTTACTTGCTATGATTGGCAGTGGGCTACAAGGAATTCCGTTACTCATCTTACCGCGTTACCGAGCACTATGCAACCCAGAGAACGAATGTCCCATTATCAGCTTAGAAAGGTAAGGCAAAATGGTATAAGTCTATCCAAACGCTAGCCCCTGCGCCAGACTCCGTACTTGTGCAGCGACGTAGGAGCCATATATATCTAGGGGAAAAGACGAACCCTTCCGCTAGCCATTAGAGAAATGCAGATTATAAAGAGTGTAGAGCAGTGCTACAAACGCCCGTCCCCTTGCCAAACTCATACCTAGGTAAAGCCCTCCTGCGGAATTTGGAATTGATACTACTACAACGAGGCAAGACTATGTGAACTCTATGCTGGAGGTGAGTCGTAGAGACGTGCAAGTAGCTAAGCATATCAGGAAAGTATTTGATCAGTAACCGAGACTGTCGTGCTGATGAACAGGGCATCGCCCAGGGTGATCGACAAACCACGCGCTGATGCAAGCTTGGTGGAAGCGGCACAGACACTCCAAACGCGCCATAGCGACGCCGACCTCATACTCTTCGAGGCAGATGGTACATTCCGCAGAGTCTACGCAGTCCTTCTCTGTGGCTAGGTACGGAAACATGCCGGTTCTGCGAGTAGCCTGGCTCGACCTGCCGGATGCGCCAGAACTTGGGTTATACGAACTATGCGCTATGATACATGATTCGATGTGCGACTCTCGTAGATCCTCAAAGTTGGGAAGCTCTCTCGAGGGTAGCTCGCGGTGGCATATGGGGCACTCGTCCTCTTCCGGGATCTGCGGCGCGGGTGGTAATGGGCGATTAGTCATCGCTGTCGAGGATGTGGACGAGGAACCACTGGCTACATCGACGAAAGGACTACCAGATACGTGATGGCCCAGGAGCGAAGTACGGCGATATCTCGGGTGCGCCTGTTGTGGGCGTGAGTAGTACGTCGGCGGGGTTCCGGTCATAATTCTGTTTTGAGGCGGGAAGTAAGGTCCGCTTACAGGCCTCGAGGGGCCCGGACCAGAATTCTATGGTGGTATTAGTAAGTTACTTGTAAGTGGCAACGGGGAAAACGAACCATCGTGATACTTCGACTCCTAGGGTAGGCATCATGAGGTGAATTCGGTAAGACCAAGTACGGTTGGGGGCGGCTGAGATTGCTGTCCCCATTGTAGTTGCCGCTAGAACTACTCTGGGATCGATGATGCGTCGACCTCGGCGAGAATTGGCTTGTCGAGTGCTGGGTTTGAGGTGGTGTAGTATTCGGGTCCGGGACGCAGGGGTTGCAGAGCCGGACCTGTTCACCACCTCCGAGCGCGGTAAAATCGGCGATACTACCTTCGTCCCCGAGGAAGGGATATCGCTGAAACGTCCTTTCACCGGGCGGCCGTACGATATATTGATGTGGTATGGTAATCCTATGTGGGGAGCACGCGTTACATACTACTCTTCCACATTTTCTTCCCTCTTTTATTAGTCTCCTCGGCCGGCTTTGTCATATACGCCCAGAATAAAACTTACCGGCAATGATGTTTCCTAACAAAAAAGCTGAACTGCGTGCGACATATTGGACACAAGGTCACTTCGCTATCTGGCTGCCATCTCGGAAGGGTGATATCCTGCGGAGACCTGTCCGGCCGTGGAGTAAATTCTGGTGCTATCGGATTTAAGCGCGAGGGGGGCCTCTGGGTCTCGTTTGAAACTACCAATGGTGGTGCAGTTTCGTTCTGATTCGTACGTCTAACTATCGGGGATCTTGCATCGGTCCTAGATTGAGGTGGTGCCGAGTTCCCAATAGATAATCCACCAAACGATTCGGTCGTCTGGTCTAAGACTTCCCTGAGAGTGAGCCTCCCCTCTTGTGTATCATCGGAAGCGATTGTATTGACGCCGACGTCGGTTTCCGACGATTGAGAATTGGAACCTATCTCCTGCCTAGGAATTGAACCATTTGCCGTATTCGATTCCGTGCTCAAGCTATTTGAATCCGCATCGTGTCCTAACGTACCACCGGCTTGTTGTGTTGTCGCATTAGCCTGACTGGACTCGCGGCCGCGCATCCCAATTGTCACATTCCCATCATCATCCCCCACGGGACTCCTCTCAATCGTGTGTGCTGGACAGTCGTGATAGCGAGAACATTCTTGGTCGAAGAATCTAGAGGTGCTGTATGGACAGACAGGGTTAGCTCGGGTCTCGTTCCGAGCATGCGAGCTCCCTAAGCCGGCGTCGCTTATCTCGAGAGCATCCCTTTCGGACAGGCGGGGCGCACCGGGCGGATCACTACTAGCAGACATCCTGTGACCCAGACTCGCTCAAGCCGCATAGAGGGAGATGGACGGGGAAATCATAGAAGCGCGAAAATATGCTTAGAGTCTCTGGGAGATGTTGATTAATCGAGCTTGGTTATCGTTAGCTACTGGTTATAGTGACGAAACCCTCCGTGGCAAATAAGGATTGCTGAAGAACTGCGAAGAGGGAAAGTTAGCGATAGTCTTGAGAATGTCATCTCGAGGAGCGAGTTGAGGGGCTGAGGTCCTAGCCTTTAACCCTCTGATGGTCACGGACTTTCCTCCTAATGAACTTACAGGGATACAAAGGCGCTTGAGCCTTCGGAGTACATGTACAAAAGATGGAGGTTGGAATAGGGAAGTAGAGTAAATGGAATATGTAAACCTCCCCGTGGTAAAGCGGAACCGACGACACGCGATTCCCTAGTTTCGGTAGGAAGAGGCACGAGGGATGTTGCCGCTAGAGCAGCGCAGTTGCCAAGCAATTTCGATATGGCTGCTGATGTGCTGATACATCTTCTTATCTTATCGGCTAACTCGGGGTTCTATCGCGTGCTTGGGGAGGGGAGTGCCGCGGCGGGGCAATCGGTGTTAGTACTTTAGGTAGGTACATGTACTTGCAAGTCCCAAACATAAACCATGGCAAACTTAAAAGAGAGCTACTACATTAGCGTCTGTTTTATATTCAGGCTCTCAGATAATGGTTATCTTCTTAACTCCTATTGTATATAGGAGGTAGGTACGCTTCTACGTAATCGGCACGATTCCCACTGAAACCCAGTTGGTGCCGTTAAACCATACTTCTTTAACCACCCCGCCGCCGACTTGGAAAAAGCACCGGTTCATATCCTGTTCTCTGGATATGCCTATATTTCCAGGTCGTAAGTTTGAGGTCCTTTCCAACCTGTATCGTCGTCTTGCCATACAACTTGTATAGTATATACGTATTAACTTGATTATTGTTGTCGCAAGGTCGTCCAACGGAAAAGGCGCCGATAGAGGTGTCGGCTGGCATCTTCTTCGACAGAGCCCCTTTCCTCCAAGCCACCCCGTCATTAGAAGACTCTAATCCATCACGGATTTTGAGTGATAGCATACCCTCATTACTTCGGTAGATTATGCCTCCGGCGTTTTGATACGTCTGTGCGACTGGAAGCACAACCATGCCACCCCCTTTAGATGCTTTAATGTTCCAATTCGTATCATTAACCCACCACGGGGCCGAGAGGTCACTAGTATTCTGTCCTAGCAATGTAGTCCATCGTATAGCGTTGTTGGCGTCTTGAGAAGCAATATAAGGAAAGTAACATGGTATTTGAGCTTTTCCAGCCGTCTGTAGAGGATACGTATTGATACTTCCGGGGTCACCTTTGGGAGGAAATTTTCCGTTCCCAAACTCGAAATTGAAGTTCTGGCCCCGAATTATACCATCTTTATCCTCATAGAAAAACTCGAGATTTGGCTACTCGATCAGCAATGTGTACATGGCCATACTTGGGTATAAAACTTACCACCGGGTCGGCAAACAAATAAGACCCCGCGGCTATCGATCCATTTTCCATTGGTTGATATAATAGTGTGTCCAAAACCGTTGTCTGGTCCAATTGGCACTGGCGTGCTCCTTATCTGTAAATCGTATTTGATCATCTTCGTCTTGGAAGAAAAGACGAATTCCGTAATCCGCATCGGTCCTATACCCGGTCACAGCTAACCTGGAACCGACTTTGATAGATTGTGTTGGCGTCGACTTCGGAGGACTGGATGATGTACCGTTGGAAGTTATATTCGAGCCCGTTCCGTCGTAACTGACGCTCCAATGTGCCTGGCTTCCTATAATACCGCCTAAAGTCGCGCCGATCCCAAGTAGCAACACTACGGCACCACCTATAGCCCATAATATCCAACGCTTTACCCTCACCTCTTTACCATTACCCAAAATTCGACGCTCATCCTTTACCCATGACGAACCCGCGCCGGCTGCGGCATAAGGATTGAGATATTAGCGTTCAGCACTCGACGAGGCTAGTTGAGGACCATGCATCAGGTTTTCGCTGGAAACCCCTGGAACGTGTGATGATGGCAAGGTCTAGAACGATTGCCTGTAGTGGTGACTCGCGTTTGGGTCAGGCCGTTGAAACTGCGGTTGCGGTTGCGATTGCGATTGCGCCAAGTATCGTTCTGTTACGATCGTAGGGATGGCTTGTAACCCTTGCGAGGTAATTTCGTCGGCGTGTGCTGTTCCTTGTGTTCTAAATGGCGCCGTCCCATCTCGCATTCCTCCCGGAGCAGCAACGTCGGCGTACTTGTATTCATCGTATGATATAGGCTGCAATCCCGGAGTGCCTTGCTCGTCTCGTACTAGGGCTACCTCAAGCCACGGCTGGGACTGCTTGGATGTCAGCGTATTGGGCGGAAAATGGTATTTATTTTCGTCAAAAAGTGCATCCTGATCATGGTTCTGCATTGCTGCCGCAGAACAAAAGCGTAAGTCGCTACATGAGACAAGACCACGCACGTTATACTGATGGCATCCCACTATCCAACCGTACGTTAAGGAAAATCATTTAACACGCATTACGAGAGTAGGAATATAGAATGGAAAGAACATACCTCCTACCTAGGCTACATAATTTAGAAGAGATCAACCTCTTACAACGTTCTTAACCCCTGGACTACTAAAATCTTCTGGTAGCCCAACGGCTAAGCATAGTTAGATCTCTTGGGGCTGAGTTCTCGGCGACGTTTAAATCTAAATTGAACGGATCGGGGTTTGTAATTGGACCATTAAGGATTAAGGCTACAGAATGGAACAGATATAACACGAGGTAGGATTCTAGACCCTGCTAGTTTTGAACCCTGTCCCCCCAGTTTCCCCTCAGAAAAGCCAAGTCAAAACGAGGTCAGTACCAACCCGACAGCCTAATAAGCGAGAACGGGACGTATCAAGCCTTTTTAGCTATCCTACTAAAAACCAAGCTTTCTATATCCGCCTCTAAAATGTTCTAGTTGGGTTCGACCTGCACGTCAGCCGGATAGCCGAAGCCCATGCAGATGCCTAGGTACATATGAAATGATGTATCAATCAACCACCCTACACACGAACTACCTCGATACGGAACGAGAAACATACCCTTAATCGTATATAGACACTCTATCGAGAACGTCGAGCAATGAAGAATACTCTTTACCAACTCTTGTCGTGTTTCTTTTTAGCTATATTCGATACTCGGTGAGTTGTACGGTCGTAAACTAAATTATAATCTCCGTGTGGGCCGAGTAGTGCCCGGAGGCCTAAACCCTCATCGCCAACGGCTCGGACTTGTCTGTACGTCTGTGCTCTTTCGTCATCCGGTAAATCGTCAACATTCAAATCCTTAAAACCTTAGATGGATTGCACAGTCCTATAATACGCGTCGTCATGATAATTTACTTGTCTGACTCATTGCCTTGGCGTACGGACCAATCATAGCGTTGAATATGTAAAGGAGGCCCCCCTATTCTACAAATCGGACTGTTTGTGATATTTCGACATCAAAGGTAACTTCCCCGCTTACACGCCATGCCTACATGTACATGAAAGTAAAGTCCATCCAATTCCAATATGCAACTTATGGAAACCAACGGCCAGGTGGAGGATACGGATATATTAAAGGTTCTTCTCAGGTACCTAGGTTCCTAGTTTAAACTAATTCGATTCTAAAGATGGCGAATCACACAGGGAATTCTTAGAACTTACAACTCTAGGAACGAGTCTCGTTCACTTTATTATTAGGTGTATAGGTACTTATGATAACTTCCTATTGGAGCTCAATATCCTTTGACTTATCACTCAGACAGTGACTCAGTCAGTAATAGAAGCTTTAGAATATATTTCTTACCGCAATATAGCTTGAGTTACTATGGTTGGAGTGTGCTCTCAGCTCACTAGCCTTATTCACAACTCGACAGCTAATTTTAATATTCCAAGTTAAAGTCGTGTTTGTCCATGATTAGTATAAGTACCTAAGGTACCTAATACGGATAAAACTGCAATTAAAACTGTACTTGTATGATACGGATTTTCCTTAGTTTTCACCCCTATCTACAGGGTTCTGCCTATGTTACTTGCTGCGCATTCCCCCATTACACATCAGGAAAACAGGTCTCGGTTACACCTTTTTAGCTTTACTACTCTCGAAGATGATCGCGTGTAGGTGGTTTGCTCCCTACTATTTAAGCCAACATGTATACTGCAGTTCAGGCTAAATCTTTGTTTGCATGCAACGTGAGATATAGATATCGATAACCCCTTAGCCTTACAGAGACCCTTTATCCACCCCCTTTTTATCATAATACACACCGAACAATAAACCACTATGCAACTAGTGCGGCGACTAGCATAGGCCGCGGAAGATGGTTTACGACTCAAACGCTCTTTAACGCTGTGTGGATATTAAGACCAGTAATAAGTAGTTCTGTTTCTAACCCGCTTGGCTAATTCCTGTCCACGTTATGCAAACCTACGACCAAACGGCAGTACTGCCGCACCAAGGGCTTAAGCTCTGTACCGTAATAATTAGCAATATTCTGAGCGTCAATTCGCTAATGAGTACGTATTATACTAACGTGTACATCTAGGGATGAAAGGACGCTTGTAAAGGTTGAAATCTGCCGTTGATTCACCAAGACGGAACCCCGGAAAATCTGGAGTTGAGATGACCATCTCCCTCTTTGATCAAGGTACAGACAGAGTTCTTTTAGAAATCAAGTTCATTTATTGGACAATACATCACGATGTTCCTTCCTGGTTCATTAGTTTTAGAATGTCAAACTGGCTGCCTCGTCACATTGCATGACTGGACTTTGTGTCATAGCTTCAAATAAGTATACTGTTTTCGACTGGCATACAGTCGAACATATATACTTTTTTCGACTGGCATACAGTCGAATATATAAGTAGGTCTTGTTTAGTGTAGTACACTGCTCAGGTTATCCCTTCCTAAGCTGCTAAACTTGCCAGTCGCCTGTCTAGACTCAGCCACTCATATGCCAACAGATCACTGATTACCATGGCAAAGCGAATTTTTCAAAACTAAGTTGAAATAGTTTCCTAATACCTGAAGCCACCAGGTGGGAATAAATAAGGCACCTTCCCAGTGACTTCTATTAATATTTTCCTCTCTTCAACTATATCAGGCTCACAGCTGCAAGGTCCCAACCTAAGCGCATCATTCCCTCGAGTCTTGTGCCCTTTGGCAAGATCTCATTTACTTTTCCTTCGCAGCATCATCCTCTTGTCCCCAACACTGAAGATGAGGGTCGACCTTCAGGACGAGCTCGATGAGGTCATGAGCCTTGATGACCATATAGATCTTGGTCAGCAGACGGACATCGATCTACAAATCCACACGGACCTGAAGCCCAAGACTGCCACCGCGCCTTCGAGCTTTCCCAAGTTCAACTCCTTGCCCCCGTATATCCGTCGTATGATTTGGAAGGTAAGCGAACTTTGTTGTCTCTCTAGAGCCCCTTTACCTTTCCGTTTACATTAAACCGCTAATATGACCTGGTACTTTCTTAGCTTGCGATGGATGAAGAGAACGGAGCTCGTTACGTCGCCCTGGACAGCCGCCTTTCCATCTGCCGACCTGTCCCGGCGCTGGCCCACGTCTGCCGCATGTCGAGAAGTGTTGCATTCGAGAAAGGTGGTGTATTCGAGCTCGGAGATGGTAGCATCACCTGGTTTCGCCCCGATACTGACTTCGTCTACTGGGACTCGGTCAAGTTTAACTGTAAGTTTACCGCCTCCTCAGATCCGATTTAATTCCATGATATTTCGTCAACTGCCGTAATCATAATACCCTTTTATCATTACGGACTTTTAAGTGCTGGTAGCCGCTAACAATCACTGTTGTAGTGGGAGAACTGACCTCCTCCGTTCAGAATCTCATCATGCCCTTGGTTGAAAACTGCAGCTCCGGCCAACTTTTCGACCGACTTTCCGAGACATTCGAGGAGCTCTTTGTTTCCGATGACCCGAGTCGACTGGAGAACATCTTCATCTCCGTGGAGTGGACTACAGCGTCCAACATTTGGAGCGAGATGGCCATCTCTCAACTCTTTGGGTCGAGCAGAATTGTTGCGCCCGCTCTCGACCAGTTCGACCCTCTCATCGACCACGTCGATGGCACTTCTCTGGTGCTTCCTGGGACAATCGATAATATGTGGAAGCAGTATAGAGCGATTCCCTTTGATACGTCGGTTGCCTGGAGAACGTATGCTGGGGAGGCCCTGCGTGCCTGGATCCATACCGCTGCCTGGTTTTCCGACCTGATTGGCGAAGACCAGTTTGAGGACTTCGAGAATGAGCGCTTGATGCACCCCGACGGAGGCTCCTGGTGGGATTGGTTTGCAGACCGTGCGCCCAGCATCTTCCCTACTCTCGTGTTCGCGAGGATGGACGGCGATGAGATAATCATGACTTTCACTTGACTTAAGGGGGCAATTCGTTATCTGGGACTGTCAAGTGGCGCTTAAAGAACCACATGCACTAGCGTTGACTTATTGTTGACCATTGCCAATAACTGACAGCGGATGTCGTTATATTCATCCTAGATGCGAATAAGAATATGCCCATGTTTCCTAATTAAGTTTCTGGATGTGATAACATGACTGTGATTGGATACCTAACACAGCCTAAACTTGAAGCTTATCAGGGTCAATGCTGCCTACATATTACCTACCTCCTTGGGTTATCTTCATATTGATTTTCTAGATTCTGAATTAAACTACGATGCCAGGAGAGCAATCCCGGATTCTGGTAAAATTCAGTTAATGATTGGGGCTGGCTATCCGGGCTAATGTATCCATACATCTAGAATCTTCAGTGTTTTTACCCATCCTTCCCGAATGAACATAGAAGATTGAATCCGAAATGACTTATTAGGCTCGTAGTATCTCATATACGTGCTAGAGATGGATTATCTCGAGTAGCTTGTATAGCACTCTCATACAACATCTCATCAATGAGCCATCTCCCAGGTCTCGTACAAGGTAGTCTTCAATAACTAGGGAGTAGAACCGCATCCATGGTCACACAACCACCGTGCCATTATACGTAGTCACATGTAGATGTGGCGCCGTTTCCGTATTGATTCTCAATGCAATATGACGATTTTCGGCATGGCTAACCCCGAAGGCATTCCTTTCACACAACGATCGATGCTTAGTGGTAGCTGCAGAATAAAATGACTGGTCTTTTTTCTATGCAATACAAGTCCTCGGGATTCGATTAGGTATTTGGTTAATCATCGAGTAGGCTTACTGCGCCATATCTACATCGGATACCCCAGTCACTTTCTTGGGCTATTGGTCCTCATTGAATTGTTCGAGAGACGTTCCACAAGCTTGTGGAGGTAATCGAAGAGCTCTAGAGCTTTAAAGGCATGTATATAGGTCGTACAGGCCCCTCTAACACTTACTCCTCGGGTAGACCGGACACTCCCACGATCCGACCTCTAGAATCTTCCGGCCTTTTCCAAGCCTATACCCCACGGTCGACGTATCCGAATCCTAATTTCATATTGTAAATATCCAGCTCTACCGGTGTTTAATATCGTGATCCTAATTCTAAATTCTCCGCCGTCTCTCGCTGTCAGAACTCGGGACTAGGATAGCTTTTGAAGGGGGAAAAGGTTGACGAGGTGGCGGTGATACGGCCATCGAGGTGTGGCGAATTAGAAGCGGTGAACATGCGTTGATCCCCAATAGCTGTTAGAGAGTGGAAATGAAGCCTGTCACAATACGTGATGGTCGGCATGGCAACCCTGACGGGTTGTGTGGGGGCCGCTATGGAATGGTATACTGTATAAAAGTTCGTGGTTGAAAGGTGCTCATCCGTACAGCCGGGTTATTAGCTTTGTAGTCCCAATGTAGGACTAGTAGGCTATCAAGATAGAAGATACGAAGAATTCTATTGGGAATCCGCGAGTTACTTTCTTTATCACGTAAATATAGTATAGTATCGTGTAGAGCTGATCGCTTCTAGTTCCCTCCCCCTTCTCCCATCAGACCGGCGAAATACGTGTGTAGCTGAAAGCTGGATGTCATGCACTAGCCTCGCATAGGCGGTGGACCTCAAAGAACTTTGTCGTCTCCGTGGACCGCGGCAGGGCTCGTAGGTCGTATGCGCAACTGGGCTAAGCACTGGACAGCGTCTAGATGCTACGGTAGCTTTGATGTGGGCTGAGAGATCAGTCATTGCGGCGCGATCCGGTGGAGGAGCTGCAAAAATAGATTGCAGGGTAGGAATCTACATTGGAATTTGGGGTTCATTGGAGTTCTTTGGCGTATACCTCTCGGGGTTAGCTAATAACTTGGAGGTCTCACATAGGAAATTTAATCAAAGTGCTCACGTTCATGCTGTGTCACGTATCGTGCCATGCGTCCCGTTAGTATTAGGCAGATGTGGATGCTACAATCATGAACCTCGGCCGGTCTGACGACTATATACAGGCTTTCAGCTCCCAAGTTCAAAGAGGCTTGGTGATACGGTAACTAGCGAATAGGGCTGGCTTATAGAAACCTTCGAAACTCTTTGATAGATATTGTGATCTTCTATGGGCTATAATTTCGGGCTTACCAAACCGGTCCTATTCGAAAAGAATTTTATCCCTTCAATAGTTACATCCACCTGTAATTCACCACCGGCACCACAACCGAGTTGCACGTGGTTTTCAATACTGCTTCGAAAAGGGGAAACTCTTATGTCCGTCTTGGCTGAAACATCCCTACCGTTACAGCCGCAAAACTAGACGAGAGTGTCTGCTTTATGATAGAATTGGCTTCGCTTTGATTATTCGAGTACCGACCCAACCAGAAGACTAAAACTAGACGCCACGTATACAGTACCAGACTGAGAGGTAGTTCTATTACATAAAATATCATCAACTATAGTTGCTGTTTATACTTTCTAAGCTCTGTGATAGTATTTCGTGCAGTTTGTTGACTTCGAGCTTCGCGTTCTCTAATATTGACAACGGCCCAGGGATAGCGTCAATATTAAGTTTAGAACGATCCAATAAACCATATAAATCCCGAACGTGTAATGCAACCATGTCTCGCAGCATGCGGGTCTGCATGCCGGCGCCTTTGATAGAATAACGCCCGAACTGGAAAACTACCGGGGCGGCTTCCCCAGTTTGGCACTGTATGAATCGAGTGACAAGCTCGCGCGCGATAGCAACTAATTGGTTGCCAAGCGTAGCGAGAAGTATTGGATTTTTGACTCTCGTGTCACATTCTTGACAGGACAACATGGCCTGACATTCTTGCATGCCTCGTTGTAGGCACTGGAAGAGGGTATCGGTTGCCACGTCTCGGCTGGAAGTAATTTGGACACCTGTATCTTCAAACACGTACAGCAGGGCACACAAGCATCCGCACTTCTGACCCGGGCTCAAGCTGCTGGAGGTCGTGGGCGTGCTCAAAGGTTCATAGCTGTGGCTGCTGTTGGTCAGGCCCTGCGCAGATTGCGTCCTTGTAGGTGGAGGTGGGGGTGGCAGAAGAATAGGAGCTGAATCTATGGGCCCAGAAGAATGCAGACCGAGTAGGGACGAGTAATTGTCCGATAATGGTGCCTGATCCATATGTAATCCGCTTGGCGACTGATCGTCAGGTGACAACGACGCAGGTGCAGAGAACCCTTTTGAAGTCTATCAGTTACAGAAACTTCGCTCACGACTCTATCTAGGTGTATATTGCAATGATAGAGTTGACGAGGGCTTACCTGGAGAAAATTCGAATTCATTACTAGCGAAGGGCTCCATATCTGCTGGTAAGTTCAGTAAATGGTGAATCTCCGAATCGGGTACCGACCATCCTATCGTCGTAGCGGAATCAGATGGACTAGAAAACGAATTCTCGATCATCGTGCCGGTGGTTATGGGTTCTCTTGGGCTCGGGATAGGCTGGCTCGTTCTAGGTGTATTGCTGCCGCTCTTATGCCCGCTAGTTGCTGTTTTCCGCTGGGGATGGCGAGGGGATCGACTTCGTGATATTGAACTTTTATTTGACCTGGTATTTGTGGCGATAGACGCCTTACGCAATCGTTTTCTACCAGGACCTGTGCCGGAGCTTAAGGTGTATGTACAGATGTTAGAGGAAGCTATGCATCTGTCGCACTCGTCCTTGTCCCCATTGCATTTTACCTGTATACGATGATTTGGTTAGCTGGTCTTGGTTTACTATGAACCATTGGGTATAAGTTTATCAACTTGCTTTTTTCGCGCGGCATAAGTCGCAAGCCGTGCGCGTATATTCCCTCTCCTGCACGGGGGACGACTGGTGATCAGGCAGGTTGAAATGATCATGCTCCTTCGTCTTTTCGTTATATCTAAATGCACCGAACATAACTACCTAGGTACCCAAAGCTAGCTAACAGACCTGCGAGCAGGACCAAAGGTATATAAGGAAGGGTTAAACCGAGGTTGCCAGAAAAGGGCGGAATTAAGGCTATAGACACTATTAATACTTTATAGAGCACACTCTATGCTTAAATAAAAGGCAACGCGTCTCATTGATCGGGAGCATGTCTGCCTAGGTATGTAGCTCGGAACCGTACATTTTCAACCGAATACTTGCATATAGAATTCATCTATAAGTAAGCACAGCTACTTATCTAACCTAAGCAAGTAATACAAAAATTAAATAACAGGACCTCTGATTTTATTACTATCAACTTATAAAAGTAATAGTCGTAGGAATTATTAGATTTGATCGGATTTACTATTCCTCGGCAGTGAGAATTATAGATCTACGATAATGGCGACCCATACGAATGAAGATGCCAAGTGCCTCACACGCCATAGGCTTGTTGCGTACCTCTAGTGGTCACGTCAGACGCCGAAAACGCCTCGGGATTTGCGCATATTCATGTAACACAACCCAACGGAGGCTGCAGGATAAGGGATGAGGGCCTTGTGCGTCCCCCAAAGCCGACCGATTTAATTGTTAGGCGATTGCCGATACTCCCACCTCAGAGATGTTTCTGTTTCTTGTGAGCTTACCATGGGACGGGAAAAGAATAAACAAGATAAAAATGAGGATATATTCTACATGATAGAGGATCTAGTGATGTTTAAAATTAACTTCGGAAGGCCCTATTCAACCTGTACGGCTTGTTGGGTTCTGAATATGTGTTTGGTTACCATCAACCTTGCCGGTTCCTCTCTAGGTACCTTTGGTAGCCACTGTGTACCTAGGGTAGGAATGAAATGCAGCAATCGTCAGATTTGCTCGATAACCCCGGGGAGCAACCTCAAGTTAATACTTCTTGTTGTGCATTACGCCGTCACATCGCTCTGCGGAGTTTAAAACTTAATCTACACCTAGATATTCATACCTCCCGGAGTGACGATTCGGTTGCAACTCTCTATAAAAATACGATAGCTTCTACGATATCTACGCGGCGTAATGGAGTCCAAAATTATCATGAATAGTATATACCTCTTTATACCTAGATCTTTGTTGTAAGGGCTCATCGCTGGATTACAACCCCTAATCTAAGTCTAACAGCCCGATGTAACTCTATCATGATTACATACAGTTGAAGATCTGAGGACCCTTACCCAGGAACTACTTGGCAAGACTCAATCCAGACCTATCTATCGAGCCTCCAATTTTACCTCCTCTACTATTGGACGTTAAGCTTGCAGTAGCGTCTTGTAACTCATACTGCCTCCAGCGATATGATTCATTCACGGCGCCAACGTACGATTATCATAGTCTATGCAATCTTGAACCGAGAACTAATACCCTCCAATAGCGAGAAAACAAAATTCGGAGCTCGGAATGAATTTATCTTGGCTGGGCAAGTCAGTTTCCCCAATTCAACTTCTTCGGCGTGGACTGACAATTCGGATGCTTTACCTACCGCTGTTGCCTGGTCTGGACCCTCTATTCTTTCGCGTGGCATGATAAGGTTGGAAGTGGAAATCTAGCCTCGTTGCTACCTAGGTGGTAAACTATGGACTTGATCGAGACGGGATTACTGATACTACCTGCAAGCGTTCTGTTCTAAATGTCTTGGTAGTGCCGGGGAAAACCTTCTAGCGTAGCATCTATGCATAATAAGCACTTAATGGCGTGGTCTTCTCTTGAAAAGAAGTCAAAACATGCCATTTCATGGACGGCGTAATAGCATTATTGAGATAGATTCAGATGGAATACCTAATGTAGAGCGTCTAGCTCGTACTGTACGAGATACTAAATTTCCCTGCGCAGATTCATTATGGGTAGAGAGGCTCTCCTGGTTAATATGAGACTTGTTGCACGTACCTAGTACGAAATCCGCCTCGGCTACTCTTGCATGTATATAATAATATTGGCATCAATTATGAGCAGGCTAGAATTAAATACCGTCCGGAGTCCGCACGTGTACCATCTCCACTGCAGCAACTGCAGCCGGCGTTTACTTGCTGATGGCGTCAGGGAAGAATGATGAAGATCTCCCAGATCACACCGGAAACATGCCAGTGGCGACTCGTAACGTTTGAGTGGGTATAGTCAACGATGTAAGCGGGTTGGTTAGGCAGGTTTAACCTTGCATTGGCTATTAGGAATTCACTTAGCTCAGCTTCGAGAATAACTGCAATATAGCTATCTATCCTCATATCTAAAGTAGTTTTATTCGTGTACACATGCCTCGAGATTAGTCTATACTTGACAAAAAAGGGGTAGTTCTCGCTTACACATCAACACATCACCAATAAGCTGGAATATAATTCCAAGCATAAACCGTGGATAGCAATTTCCCCTATGATAGGAAGAGTGAGCAGTTCTATTAAGCATCCAGTGCAAGAATTTGAACTTTTCTTAAGATGGATATCTATACTCGAGCCAACCACGAAGATTTGGCACCATTGTCGGGCCCTTATTCGAGAAATATCCGTAAGCTTTGGGCGGGGGAGTGTGAGTTTTCCAAGGCGAAGGCAAAGGTGACAAAGAATGACGTTTGCGAGATGGACTCTGCTAATGATATTGGAAATTGCCCGGCGGATCGTAGGTACGTTAGGAATAAGGCGAGCAGGGAGACGACGACAAGAAGCCACTATCGACGCGTCAACATAATATCCAGGTTTTGATCGCAAGTTGAGTCATACTTTGAAACTGTGGATGATCCCAGGAACGCCGAAACACCCAAGACAAAGAGCTCCGACCTACATTATGGATTATATCTCAACTGGGTTCATAGTTCTCCATCTTTCGACGGATTCGTGTTACCTCTTGATCGTATTCCTACAAACAGGGCGGGGCGATAATTTAGTTGACACAATAAGACCATCAGAACTCCCGGCTTCTTCAACTCTGGCATCCTGCTTTTGGTTTTGCTCGCCGCTATCCGACTTCGAGGGTCGCATCGGGGCCGCATCTGCGTAGGATCGATGTATAGGTAGGAAAGGATTCGAAGTGTCCGTATTTAATAGACCCTAGTCGGCCCAAGAGAGGCACATTTTACAGATGGATTTGTGATTGACAGAGTGGCTGCAGCCTGTAGGTGATGCGGTATGTAGGAATGATCGTGAATATTTGAGTCGCGTCTAATACGAAGTCAAGTGCATTGTATCACCACTTATTTTATCCTAGGATTCATGAGATCGACATTGTCCGTACCAGAAAGGGGGTTCGATACAGAAAGCACATCTCAAAGACAACTTATATGGATTGCTACCTAGACGATTAAACTCGCATAGATGAATAGGGGGTCCCGTTTTACGAATCTGTCCTGATTAGGAAATTTCCCAAAAGAGAACCGGCCTCCGGGGTCTTAGGTAAGCAAGACTCCGGGCTCGAGTTGATAATAAGCTGAAACTCCAAAGACTCTGACAAATGGTAATTATTATTTATACGTATCAGCGTGGTAAAATCATGTTGCTATCGTACACAGATAAAAAAAAATTTCGAGGAAACCGAAATTACCTGTCTGTAATGAAGAGCGTGAATTTTCGTTCCCATTCGCACTGTCCGAGCCGTTTACACATTGGCGGCTCCGGGCGCTTTTGATTTCAGGCCAACTGGTTATCTTGCGTACTCTGATATAGCAGTTCAGAGGACAGATCAAGATGAATTCTGGGCCATATTCTACCGGCTCCTTGCTAACATATTCGTAGGAGTATCTCTAGACCAAATTATCGATTGGTCTCGAGAAGCGTTACATCGTATCCGATACATACGCGAGGTCCCGCTCCGAGGGGAGTGAAGGTTAGTCGATGCCTCTTCTTGTTCGCCGCCTTGTCTGACCAACGGTCGGGATCGAACGTGTGCGGATTTTCCCAATGATCTTTGGTCTGATGACTCGCTTGGAAAGTCGGGATAATATCAGTTTGCTGGTATTACCCACCCTCCTGGAGAGTGGTATAGATCCGAGGTGGTTTTGATGAAGTATTCATTCCCACAGAATTTAGGAGATTCGCGGGTCGTTCGTTAGATAGGCGGCGGTTCCCATGCTCACAATTTCGATGACGCTTCCATATCTAGTGAATGCCTAGTCTTTCTGTCAACTCAATATGGACTCAATAGTGTTAGCATTAGCACCATTGAAACTGTGGAAATATATAGCTACCTATATATTATCATTAGCTAAGTCCTTTTATCATCACCGCCGGCAATATCTTACTCTGAATACTAGCGATAACGAAAGCGCTTGCCATGTCATACTTCAAGCCAATGAGCAGCTCGGAAGATGATACCTCAATGACGGCGACCCCTCTGTTTTCTTTGCCTGGAAATATGAATTGTTTATTCACTATGCTATTGAATCGATTATAATTAGCAAGGCAAGGTTATTAGTTGATAAACAACACGCCGGATTCTTCCAGGAATTATTATATACCTCGTGATGTAGTTGTGATTCTAAGTTGTACATAAACAGCGCTCGTAAGCGACATGAAGTAACCCGAAAAGGGATATGCAATCAGCTTTGAACCAAAATAGTGAGTCCCAGTAAAGAATTACTGTCATAATTAATGTTAGAACCAAGCAGGTGCCTTCGTATCTAGACTAGCTACTATGGTTGAAATACCTAGCACAATGCATATTAGCGCAAATTGCTAAGCACAATACTTCCGGCGATTATTGGCTGGTAATTCGTGGAAAAGGTGACTTCGCTAACTCGTATTGTTTGGAATCTACCTTCTAACCGCCTCAAGTCTATAACGTCTCGGGATACTTGGACGATCATCCTGGAAATCTAAATGCATTGCAAGAAGCAGTGGGTGCCGACGCGGCTGCTGACTTTGACTTTGCCAGTCATTCTAGCGTCGCGAAAGGGGCGTTAAGTGAACTTAAAGTAGGATCACCGGCCAGCCACGTATGTCGCCTTTGCACACATGATGCTGTCAAGGCGGAAGGCTAACTGTATTACTAGATCTTTGGTCTGTGGACATATTTCGTACCCAAGCTACAGATATGTGGGCACTTAATTATGTTTTAGACACCCTGTTGATAGTATGGATTATATCTAGGCTGGTTGTTCTTGGTATGCTCTTCCCCCGAGCTCTTCAACTTTGTACGAGATACGTGGGAGGTAGCTACGAAAATTGACGCAGCGGGATTCACGCCGGGCCTTGGTGTAGCGCACGGCGATCTGCTCCCTCTAGACTAGCTAAATCTATCATTTTTACAAGAGTCTTCACGTCGAAGAGTTCTGTAGGTACACCGTGACCTCCTGAATGATGATATACGCGAGCCAAGGATTGGTCGCACAGACCGCAGACCAATCTTGACTGCGCACTTATTGCAGGGAGATCTCCTTTTCCGTTGACGTGGACCGTTGGGATTTCGATGCGGTCTTGAGTTAAAGAGTGATGTAAAACCCGGGGGATAGCTTCTTGGTTCCGCCGTGTGAAAAAGTTGATTGATTCTGTAGATGAGCTCATCTGGTTGCCTACTGTGAACGTTAGAGCTAAGCTTTCGGCGAAGATTCGCTCGGCTTTAGTAAGCTCATTGAATTCTGCCTTGGGAAACCCCTGAATTGCCCGAAAGCCTCGGTTAAGAAGACCTTCTACGATGGACTCGTAGCATGTCTTACTAGGCGAGAAGGCTGATACCGAAGAGAATAAAACCGCGAACTCAAAGGGCAGCTGTGTCTCAGGCTCACGGGCCTGATAGTCGAGTAAATATGAGACAGCCATAGAGGCACCTTGGCTGAAGCCAAACACTCCGTGAAAGGGGCCATTTTCTTTCACAAATTGATCGAGGTTGTCGAGAGCTTCTCGAATCTCAGCCGCCGTGTAGCCTGTGGTATATGAATAGAATGGCCCTTGGTAATAAGGCGCTATTTCTAATGGCTTGTTAGCAAAAGAGAACTCGTAGAGCCCGACATATCTATCAATGAACTCACCCGGGCCCCTTTCTATTTCGGCCACTCCATTCAAGTAGACAAATTCGTATCTGGGGCCCAGCTCTCTTGTCAGTGGAGCCAGTTGACCCTTAACAATCTCCGCGGAGGAGCCGACGCCGTGTAAGGCTAATACTCTCTTCATTGTGGCTGGCAGACTCAAAGCGTTATAACGGCATTTGCCGAAGACTATCATCGAAGTTCTGGAGGTAAAGTAGCTAAAGTAATATGAAGATATGTTCGAAGGAAACGATGTAGAAATGTTTCTGGGCAGTAAAGTTCATTACCCTTTGGCATTGGTGTTTGTCTCTTTCCAAATTTTGCTTCTAAGCCACCATATTCTCTTTCGAGTCTTTTCAGATACCATTTAGATTGCCTCAAAACGGGATTTGCCACCTACGTAGCCGTTTCCGAGCCCACCATCTTCGGTGTTTTAATTACTTTTGTCCCGCCAGTTGCGTCTCCTAAAGCGCAGACTACACTTGATTATGATACGGGATATATAATAGATACATACTTTATTCAACAAATCAGACTTTTGTCACACTCTAATTAGGACAAGTGTAGCCTATTGGCACTTCAAGAGATATACGCCATATTCACCATGCATGATAAGAAGCAATATTACAAAGGTTGTGCTACAGTTTCTTAGGACGTAGTTATGAGATGGCTTTAATATATAAAATACCTAGGTAGTTAAAAACCAACACCCCCATACTCCCATGATCTTTGCCCCTTTCTGCTATCCTAAATTCTTATTATCTATTTGTTGCTTCTTACTTACCTTATTCTATATACCCCCACTATCGAAGCCTAAGACCGCACCGCAGCTGTTCACGCCAAGACCTGAAAAGATGACTGCAGCTGCAGTGAGAACGGGCAGATCCCGCTGCACATCATACCACGAATGCCGCGCATAGTCTTATCCGATAAGATGGGGTTGAGCCGTAAGGAAATCACTTTAAAAGGTGGGTTTCATGCGACGATGCATCTGTGAATGCGGAGTGGGAGCCGACCTCGCCAATAGGCTGCTATTAGAAGTGGCATATGAGGTGTTTGGAAACGGTGAGTTGATGAACTAGCAAAATTCGAGATCCTCTGGACTAACATGGACTTTAACCGCTACTAGCTGGGATGCCAACGGATAGGATAGCGGGATCGGCAACGGGCTGTTATGTAGGGAGTATGACAAGCGACTATTAGGTCCAGCCAACCTATGAGATACACGACTTTCTGCGGCGGGGGGCGGCGGGGTTCCAATATGACTGCTATACTTCATCCGAACTTTCTCCCACAGCTAGTTGCCATGCATATGCTTAGCCCGAATGGCATATCCCGCGCATTTGGTGATTGAGCAAATTGATATGGTCGTGGGGAAGGCGTGGTGTCTTGGTAGTAAGATGTCTCGACGCTATTCGAGACGGAGACACTATTAGAGCCATCGTCCGCGGATCGGGTATCAATTTGAAGGGGAAGACGCCGAGTGTAACTATGCCGAATCCTCGGGCGCATGCTGGACTTGTACATACCACTTACTTCCGAGCTCACGGCACGGGGACGCCTGTTGGTGCTCAGCTCCCGCGAAGAAGCTGGTATTAAAAGGCTCGCCAAGACTTTAAGGGGTTACTGGGGATCTATCGCCGAGGACGATGTCATCAAGGTTGCGTATATCCGCGGCGTCTACTCGAGGAAAGTAACGGGCGGTCCAAAAGTTCTAGTGCCGTTTACGTACTTGCTAGGGGGACTTGGTTCTCTCGGTTCGAGGATTACCAGCCTTATGGCCTAGAGCGGGCTCATTGGCTCGGGTATCGAGGCTGATCGCATCGCGAAGTCAGCTCGTTCCAGCTCAGATACGGGAGAGCACAGGTGATGAAGAATGATATCACAAGACAATCAAAGGTGAAAGTAAAGAGTACGACTATGGTGGACCATTAGTGCAACTGTGCCAAAATCAAGAAAATTGGTTGCACTATGTCTAATAAAGTAATATAATAAGCAACGCTAAGTGCACAGTACGCTATATACAAAATAATAATATCCGGGCTATCCTCCCCACTAATCTCCAACATCAGCCAATTAAATTAAAAAATTACATTATTAATTTAATCTTTAATTACTTTATATACATAACATATAACACATTTAATTAACTTTACGAAAATAATAATTTAAACGTTATAATTAATATTATTATATAATTATAATTAATGTAAAAATAATGGATTAAATTACATGTTTATGCGATATGTATTAAATATTATATTATTATTAAAGTATTTAAAATTTATTTAAAATGACTTTATTAAAGTGTTTTTAAAAAGTATCACGTGTTTGTTTTTTTAAATAAACATTATTTGATTTTATTATAACATAATAATTAAAAAACCGATTTAAATGCATTTTAAATCATTATTTTCGCATTAATTAAAGTTATAAAATAATATTAATTATAACGTTTAAATTATTATTTTCGTAAAATTATTTAAATATGTTATATATTATATATATAAATAAAAAAAATAGCCCGGATATTAATGTTTAATTTTATTAATTAATCTTTTAAATTTATGGAAAAAATGGCTGTATAATATTTCGTATTTTATAATGTTTATATAATTATATAATTTTTTTAATATTTTTATTAATATTAAGTTAAATTTTATATAATTTAAATTAAATTTTCGTTATTTTATAATTAAATATTAAGTTTTTTTAAAAAAAAGTTTTAAATAAATATTGGTTAGGTTATTGTAGTATAAGGTTAAGAAAAGGTATGTATATATTACTTTGTAAAAAGTATACAGCGCAAATAGTCGAGCCTATACTGTACATCTAATGTTACTATTACCTTATTAGACATAGTGCAACCAATTTTCTTGATTTTGGCACAGTTGCACTAATGGTCCACCATAACGACCCCTCTATACGAGGTACCTCGATTAGCCTGTAAGCTTCCAGTTAGGGTCATATGCATTGTGGTTCAATTAGAGCTTAAGGAACCTTGCATTTTACAACATCTATGACCTACATAGGATTTAAGCCTCAGCAACCTTTCTATTGCGAATATGGTTCTGTGATGCTTCGCTCTCTTTATTATCCGATCTAATGTCGCCCATCTTGCGAAATGTCACCAACAAGTGTCTACATTCGCACCCGCCAAGATGATCTTGTAAGACGGGCAAACGTTGGGCAGTGATTACACGAGGCGCAGCAGACTTTCTATCATAAAATATGCCGGTCAATATGCATATAATACTAGCATAAGAATTATTGTACCGTTGAGTCATGTTGACGCTGTTCTAAAATACGTTTACAGGTACCATCCACACAGGCAGACAGGGAATCCAGGCGTGGCTTTGTTTTTCCGAATTAGGTCATATTGACAAGTCGAAGGGCGCGCAAATATCATATGTATGGCATAGATATAGCCAACATGGAGCCTTGGAAGTCCCGAAAACCGGATACCCTGAACCAAATAAAGCTAAGTTCGATCGGTTCAATATAAGATGCCCCTAGGACACTCTGCTTCCTTTTCAACTCGTATTCTGGTCAAATCTACATGTTCGAGTATAGTTGCGGTTTCCTTTTCATCTCCTTGTCATCTTGTCATTTATATCATTCGCCACGACTCGCATTCGCATGATGTCCACGAAAATGGCATCAGTTGTTACCACCACCGAGGTCCAGGTGAAGCAGACATGCGAGGTGACCATCGGCGACGCACTGGCGTCTGATGCGGCAGCGATAGCTCTGATCGGTGCCAACACTTTCACCGCAACCTTCGGTTTCTCCGTCCCAGAAGACGACTTGGCAGACTTTTTAGCAGAGACGTACTCGTCAGAAGCTATTGAGGCGGATATCATAAGCTCGCATGAGAACAACATCAGCACATTTGTCGCCCGTGATGAAATGGGCTCCATCTTAGGTTTTGTGCAGCTCGTTCGCGGCCTTACGGATTCATCCTTAAAGGGAGATCCCTCCTCGCACGCCGAGCTGCGGAGGCTTTACGTAGATACCACAGCCCATGGCAAGGGTATCGGGAGCAAACTCATCGCTGTCGTCGAGAACAAGGCCAGGTCTGAAGGCTTCAAGCAGCTATGGCTTACCGTCTGGGAGTACAACAAGAGCGCACAACGACTCTACCAGAGGCTAGGGTACTCGAAGGTAGGCGCTGTGGAATTCGCTACCGGAACCTGCATTCAGACGGATTGGGTATTGGTAAAAAGCCTGTGATTGATTTGAGTCAGTCATGCCTCCTCTTTTTAGACATCGGGCATAGAGACATGGATAGAAAGGAAGCGGATTTGCATACATAGACGGGGCGTTGGTACATACAAAAGACTTTGGGCATTCGGTGGCAGTTTTCACTCGTACATATCACTAAAAGGGGCGTTATGGTGGCAGCATCTCCATAGCTGAACAACGCACAAATGGACGACGATGAATTTCTACATATCAGACCAGTCCGATAGATCATAATTACAACAATTACAATTCAGATGAATGATTTACTCAGGGTGAAACGTCGATTGTCACGTGAAAATTCTCAGGAGGTTCAGGGGTCGGATTGCTTTCCCCGCTCATTACAAAGACGTTATATGAATTAACACAGTTGCAAATAGAAGCCGGGCGCAGGACGAACTTAAAATGATCAACTTCCCGCGGCAATACGAATCAATAGACAAATATTCATAAGAGCAATTCGTCATCGAAATCAGAACCGAAACTTTAGCAACACTCGTACCCGCACTAAGATTGCCTTTATCAAATAAGATCAGAGAAGCATAATTCGGGATGGCGGCAGCAAAGTCAACTAACCACCTCGCTAGCTTCTCTGATGAAATAATACCTTGGGTTGAGGAAACTGGGGCCCAATTCCACTATGATGATCTACGAGATGACGCCATAAGGCTTCTAGAACTTGAACCGTCTCTTCCTCAGGATCCAATAAGATGCAAACTCTTGCATGTGAACAGCAACGAAAATCACCAATATGAGATTCTCTCTTGCGACTGGCAAAGCTCAACAGGGCCACAAGTGCCTATATCTCTAAACGGCCAGACTTTTGATGCCCCGTCCGAGGCCTATGTAGCACTGCGCAGAGTCAGATTCGAGGATCAACCGAGATTCCTTTGGCTGGATGCTATCTGCATCAACCAGAAACCGAATAAAACGGATCAGAATACTCAGCCCTCTTATCTAAAGGGCATATACCAAGGCGCAACAGGCCTCCTTGCGTGGATTGGGAACGCCAAGAATAACTCGCACCTTGTGTTTGAGCATCTCGATAGGTGTCGCGAACATAGACATATCAATTGGTGTCGATATCGGGGAGAAACGAAGGATGCCTTTCATAACCTATCTCGCAGGTCGTGGTTTTACAGAACACAATCCGCTCAAGAGCTCGCTTTAACCAGTAAGGCTAATATCCTATGTGGCCGTCATCAGGGTGAATGGCCGGACTTGATGAGATGTACCGATTTCTTAGGGGCTGGGGACTACTATCATCCGTTAGAAGGACCAGATGGTCGAACGCATTTACGTCACCTTTGGGAACTCTCTCGCGGTAATCTTGTACCGTTGAGGGATGTATTCCTCTGGAACCGGCATGGTCGGGTTCACGACCCTAGGGATAAGATATTCAGCGCCTTGGTACTAGATACAGGTATACAGTTTGATATTCCTATTGACTATAGGCAAGATCTTATTCATCTTTTCCGGAACTTCACGCAGAAGGTCATCGAAGCGAGCCAAACCCTCGAGATCCTTCACTGGCTAGGATCGCAGAAGAAACCCATCGATGGCCTTCCGTCGTGGGTTCCTGACTACAGCATAGTCAATCCCATAGGTACTTTACCAAGGATATTCAGCGCGTCGGCAACATATTCCATTCATTATCCAACCCTGGTACTCCCGGGGTTTGAATTTCGACTCGATGGCGCTCTGGCGATCCACGGACGTCTCATCGAGAAAATCGAGAAAACAGGAAGTGAGCTGGGAGCAAGCGTTGCTGTTGGCGGCAAAGTGTTTAATTCGATATTGTCCGAATGGGAGGCTCTCGCTTTGAGCCTGAGCTATAAGAGATTTCCGCAGGCTATCATTGATGCCTTTGCTGATACTCTGATTGGAGACGATCGTACCGATTTGTTAATCGAAAAAGACGAGACCCCGTATATTCGAGAGTCGAGACCGTCGATATCGCCGTCAGCGAATGAGTTCCATGAGTGGTATGGGCAGTACGGCGCGGGTGTGCTGGGAGAAGCCAACTCGACACGCACAGGGGACGGAGCTAGCAGCTGGCTTTTGACGAAGTATGCTCGCCGGATGGAAATGACTTCCTACGGACGCAAATTCTTCATCACTGATGAAGGCTCGATGGGTCTTGCACCACCACACGCGAGAGAGGGTGATGACTTGGTCTTCATTCCTGGTGGCAAGTACCCGTTTGTATTGAGAGCTAGGGGTGACGGCACTTACGAACTTATCGGGGACTGTTTTCTATACGACCTAGACGTGTTTTCACTACTCCAGAATGAGAACGTGGACACTCGGAAGTTCGTTCTCACTTGAAACGTTACAGAAAGCTATGGCTGTTGTAATAGAGCGTTGACGATTCCCCAACTACGACTGTCATCATAGCAATGAAGTCTTTTAGGCTGGCATTAGATTCCCCGCGCGAGCGTGTGAAAAAATAGCGTATTCATTCCGTTTAACTTAATAAGCATATAAGTTTATCTACTCATTCGTTGAGTACACCTCGTGTCGCAAGGTGATGATGACGTGATTTAGTAGGTTAGACTTTAAGAGCCGCGATCAAGTGTCAACGTTCCACAGATGGACATGCTGTTGGATTTTATATCAATGAAATTATTACCTATAACGAGCCTAATCAAAATATAACGGCCACGGAAGCTAATCAAAGTAACTACAGCAAAGAATATAACCCTATAACATCGACCCAAGATTCGAGTAAACCACTCTCCACTATAAAGGTCTTACTCTCGTGAAACTGCTAGAACCTCTATATCATCCCCTTCCCTCCCAAAAGGAAACTCACGACTCCGATCCAAAGTCGGGAAAGCGCGGGGCCGATGTGTCGAAGCCGCACGAATACCGGACGATCCAATCGCTGTCTCGGCCGGACTGGTGCACGATGATGCCGCTTGGGCTGGTAATAGTAAGGTTAAAGACGCCGCCCCACTGACCATCTGCGAAGACGAAACGCAAGGGGTGGAAACGGTTGCCCTCGAGGTCCTTCCTGACGCTGGCAGAGCCGTAGTGGTAATCATTACCCACAAACGTCCATACAGCCTTCGCGTCAGCATTCGCGTCCGTCCACCCGGAGACCGCTGCTTCGCCGATCCAGGCAAATACGACGTCGTCGACATGTGTGATGTCAAACTGCCAGGTGCCGCCCTCGCAGGCATACAGGTATGCGTGGTGGTTCAGAGCGAAGTACGTGCTGTTGAGCTCGACGGGGGAGCCGTAGAATGTACTGGTATCGGGGTTGGCGTCCGTGTAGCCGAGCTGGCCTCCGATCCAGGGTGTTACGCCGGAATAGACTGGGTTGCGGGTCTTGTAGACGTCCGCGCGGAACCCGGGATAGTTCTCACCATCGTTGCGTAGGGGGTTGCTGTAGTATGCCCAGTCCCAGCCTTGGTTGCTGCAGTGCTCTGGCTTGGGGCAGCTGGGACATAGTTCTATTGGGAGGATGGCCGTGCTCAGGGGTAGGGAGGCCAGTAGGAAGATGCTGAGGTTTTGCAGAGTGAGCTTCATGATTTCGATGTTTAAGTATAGTGGGCGAATATTTGTTTCTGGTATAGGTTTAAGATGTGAGGAGATAGACGGATAATCCACTTCGACAACATTCGGGATTCTTCTACGTTTAAATAATGGGAGCCACGAGTACCGTTCTTTCCCATATCCTCTCTTCGCGTAGGCATACGTTCGGTTCGTCCGACCTTGCACCGCACCGCTATAGAAAATTCAAAGGGGCGGCGACATGGTTCTCACTCTTGAGTAGCACTATTAGTTGTTATATTAGGAATTAAAATTTGACCTGCATCAATATTTCGACAATTTGGAAATCGGCAAGGTCGAAATAGGAACATTCAGCTAAGTCCTACTTGGTCCGCTCTGATGAAGACCGCGATGCTATTGCTTGTTAATGAGTAGCATAGTAGCTGCCATCGAGCTTGGCATGTAGGACTTCGTCACAACACATATCTATTCCGTAGTCAGATTGCAGATCTGCGTCCGTAAGGGAGCTCTTTCAATCAGCTGAAAACACCAGCTGCAAGATGACTGCCGTTTCCAGCAGCCCTGCAGGACCACGCCAATGATTCAAGCTGGTAGCTACCTGATTTATCATAATATTGGCAAGCGACTATTCCCATTGAATTCATAACGAAGATTTGCTTAATCTCCGATATCCATATCAGGTAGCTATTCGTGAACTCAGCTGCTGTGTTCTGGCTATGTCTTTTAAGATATGCTCAGTTGGTCTTTGTGATCGACATAGGAAGTGAGAGAGCTATATGCCATTTAAGCGATAGATGATGAAGCACTTTCGGCGCCTTTCGTTTACAAAAAATTCTCACCCCGCCTGTTTTTTGCCTTTTTCCTTCTTTTATGTATTAACTTCAGCAATACCCCTTTCTATGAGTTTATCTATAGAATTGTCATTATGAGGTAGGCTAGGAAAGCCTCGAGTCTTGACTTAAGCACAATGGCCGTATTGTAAGTTAATTCAAACCATCCGGCCCCAAGAGTTACCTAGGTAGTTGTTGATTTATGAATAGTTAACTGCTGACTCGGTACTTAACTAAGACTAATCTATTAGGACGATGGATAGTGGCAAGTCTATAGATTTCTGTTTAAAGAGATACGATACGAGTAGCTAAGAAGTGTATAGATTATTGACGTGATATTGCTCAGAAATAAATAGTGTTGGTCGGGCTGGAGGTCAGGTGAGTGAATATTATATGGTATTATCCAAGTAACCACTCTGCTTTCTTTACAGTGCAGCAAACTATCGACTGCAATATGCGGGGTACATAAATAAGTATGTAATTAACGGCGCATCTCATACTATCGAGGAGCGCCCAAGCTAGTGCCAGTATATAATCTTGTATGTTCCGCCGGCGAGTCTGTCTTACTTCTTTTCTTGTCTTACGTTTCTCGCCCTTGGCAAAATAGCTCGAAAAAGAAATCTTCAAGAGAAAAAAACATGGACGGTTCGTCAGCCTTAAGATCGTGTACCCACACTAGCGACCCCAGACGGCAAGTTCCGGGGGACGATGCTCGTTTAAGCAACCAATTACACCCCCGGCCCGAAGATGCGGTAGTGGCAAGCCGCAAGCCGGCAAAAACGTTTGCAGACTTACCCGCGGAGCTGCGGGCGATCATATGGGAGTACGCTCTCCCCGAGACGCGTGTCTTCAACGCGTTAGTGTACGCCTCGAAGGGGCTCAAGATGCAGCTGATCGAGAGGAGTCACCTGCGCATGCCGCTCGCGCACGTGTGCTTCGAGTCGCGGCAGCTTGTCAAGAAGACCGGATACGTGCTTGCTTTCCGCGACGAGGACGAGCCTGACGATCCGGGAGTCTGGTTTCATCCGCGACGAGATGTTATCGAGAGGACGATATGGGGTCCTTGCGAGTTCTGGGGCTGGAAGTGACGTAAGACGGCGACGGTGAAGCTAGGTTAGTTGCGTCGTGTGCGGTGTGTTTAGAGACAGGCTTTGAGGCTAACATGGTATATACCAGTCATCGTATATCGCTGGAGCGAAATCTTGTTTGCATATAATTGCTTAGCCTAGCCTATGGTCTGTTGGGATATGTGCCTGAAAGGGGGATTTTTAGTTTTGGTATAGACTCGCAATCATGATATATCCACCCTGCCAGTAACTATATTAACTATCTATTTTCCACGCAGTCTCAAACCTCCTAGTCATACAAGTGTATCTGAGCCTTCTGAATATTCTTCCCGGTAACCTGTACATAAGCAGCGCCCTCGCCTTCGACCTGAAGCTCGAGCTTCTCATGCGGCCAAAGTGTGACATAGTTATCAGACCAGAACACCGGCAGGACGTCTTCTCCCTCTCCGTTAACAAGGTTGAGCCTGATGAAGAACGCAGGTACGGAGGAGTGGTTCTCGAGCACCACCCCAAGCCCTCCTGCTTTGGAGTGACTCCGCTTCGACGTCGCCGTAGTTGTGACAGAGACTTCAGCAGGTCCTAAGCTGTTCAAGGCTGTGTAATCGGCGTACTTGGTGACTGGCGTGTAAAACCAGTCGGAGTTTTCCCAATCCAAAGTGTCAGTGGTGTTTGCTAGCCAGTACACATTCCGACTCAATGTAGCATTCTTGTCATCCGAAAGGACGAGCCGCAAGAATGCAATATCCGTTACCGATCTGAGAGCGTCTGTGAGGTCTATAATATCTGTGCTGTTATTGGGTACGGTATCGAAACCTTCTTGGCTGTTATGAATCGTTTTGCCGTTCTTGTCGATGATATCAACAGTTACTGTCCTCGACCCCTTTCGATCTAGCGAGCGGTTGATCAAGTACACGAGATTTCCATTATAATCGTAGGCGACGTGCTCTATCCTGGACCCGGCCTTTGCTCCGAAGTAGGATCCAGCCGGGTGCAGGTAGTAGTCGAATAAGTTCCAATGCAAGCTTGGCCATGCATTGTTCAGCATCCAGTAGATGAGTCCTGTCGCGGGTCTGTCGGCATTCCATAGGGATGCAAAGCCCTCGAACTGCGACTTTGTAGCCTCATAGTCCTGTATCTGAGCTTTAAGCAAATAATCCTCCAACGAAGTAGGTGCCCCGTAGCGGTTCCAGAGAGCAGTGTTATAGATCTTTCGGTCATAGAATGATGATACGCTCGTAGACATGTGATACAATCCCTTGTTTGGGCTCTTCCACAAGTCATCTAGATCTGCCTCGGATAAAAACTTCTTTAGGCTGCTGATTTCCGGCGTCCCAACGCCGCTGCCTAGCTCAGATCCAAATCCGAATGCGGCTCCGAGACGGTCTTCTGATGGTTCAACGTCATACCAGTAATTCGGCGGTACCCCTATAATATCAATGATAAGTCTCAGACAGTTCAAGCATATCCCAGGAATAATAATACTCGGGATAGGTTAAAGGGGTAGGGTTGGAATATCGCTTACAGTCGTAAGGTCCCGCCATTTTCAATCCCGACGGCCCCAGAATCTTGGGATAACCCCTCTCTGAAGCTGAAGCAATGATAGGCGTCTGCCAGTCCGCCGCTTCGAGTGAATAATAGTACGCTCCCGCTGCTTTGTCGTCAGGCCAGTAATCGCTTCCGACTAGATACCCTAACACGCTCGGATGGCTCTGCTGCATAAGAGCCTCGTGGTACATGCTCTTATTCGCTATAGTGTAGTCGGCGTCTGTCCACTCTGACTTGACGGCCAAGTCTTCGTTGTACGTCCAAGCCTCCCATTTATCGCAGCACTCCCAGCCAGGGAGAACCATTAAACCTAGTCGATCCGTGATCTCGTATAACTCCGGTTGCTCGTTCTTACCTTCTAATCTTACTGTGTTTTGTCCCAAGTCGAGCATCAGCTTGGCTTGCGTAGTGAACTTGGCGCTATCCCATCGTAAGAAGATATCTGCGGAATAGCCAGAACCGACCACCTGGAAGGGGTAGCCGTTGACAAAGAATATAGTGTCGTTGTTCGCATTAAGCTCCGCTGTTACTTGGCGAACACCAAAAGTCCGCTCTACCCTGTCAGAAATAGATCCATCTATGGACGCTGATAGCTGTCCTGCGTATAATGGCTGGCTTCCCCACTGCTTGGGCCACCAGATCGCGGGCTCGTTTAATGCTGTTGACAAGACCACCTCCGCAGATCCCAATGGAGGCAGCGTGATAGTCTGGTTCAATTCATATGTTTCGCTTGCGCCTTCTAGGGAGATGCTGCCTCTTAACTCAACAGTAGCTTCGCGATCCTCTAGATTCGTAGCTGTAGTCTTCAAATTTACGAGTGCGCTAGAATGGCCGATTGGCAAGCTGGCTTGTGTAGTTACTCTCAGGGGTGCCAACGAAACAGGACCCGTCTGCTTGATTTCTACATTTCGCCATACCCCCTGATGAATATATTAGTATCGATCAATAGGTATCACCATAAAAAGTTAGGGCACTACGAACGGTACCATTATCCGGAGGATATGGGTTCCAGTCCACAAAACCGAGCTAGAATGCAAAATCAGTCATTGCTTATTGCAACCGCAAGTTTAAGGGGCTCAAATACGCCAAAGTCGTAGTTGTAGTCAGTCGGATAGACTTGAATTACAAGCGCATTCGTGTTATTTGCTATTTTGGTAATATCGAAGGTATTTCCGGCATAGGCACCCGCCTGCGTCTTTTTGGTCACGACCTCCTGGCCGTTTAGGTAAATATCGGCACTCGAGGTAATTCCATGAGTCTGCAGATGGAAATAGCGCTTGCCGGGGCTAGGTTCAAGAGTGAATTCTTTTCGATACAGCCAAGGAACTTTGAATTGACTGGAATTGAAGCTCCGAAGCGCGTTTGAGAAGAACAGCCCAGTCTCGCGGTACACACCGGCTTGTATTAGACAGCCCATGAGAGTACAGCGGGAGCTGTCGATTTCGTGCCATGTTTTCGTGTCTACACCAGGTCGAGATAATGCTGCAAGATCCGACCCGACTCGTTCCGTTGATTGAAGGTCCCACGATGGTATGATGGCGACCTCGCCGGGTTCAGAAAGCAGTGCGGCAGCAGCGAATGTGTTGATGCCAAGGTAGAGCCCCAGCAGCAACTGGTGCAAATGCATTATGGCTAACAATGCTTAAAAGTAGATCCTGAGATCAATAGCATGTTGGAGACGTAGGTCTCGAGAGGGTATATAAACCATTGGGAACGGTTACATCTAGATAATCTAAGACCTAGATAATCTAAGACTTATCGGCAGTGTGCATACCATGCTTGCTATGCCTGCTATATGCAAGTGACCTCTCGCAGATTTCCAGAGCCTGATAAGGCAGTTCAGGCTCCGTGGGACCCTTGTTTCGGTACTCCCCCGCAGTCTAGCTGTGATAATAGAAGGAATATCTCGTACCTGGCGCACTGACGTCGTATTATAGTTTTGGATGCAACATTTGGATGCAACGTTGATTTATAGACCCAGCGAAAGAATAAATGATCTTAACCATTATGGCGACTTGGTTCTAGACGTACCAGCTATATTAACCATTAGAGGCCCTTGCAGAACATCGCATCTATATCTTGATTGTTAGTCTACAAGTAGGCTTTGATTCGGTTAAAGAGAGACCTGCAGTGCCGGAAGGCTTGGCTGCGGCTTTTAATCATGCCAATCCTTCTATAACTACCATAGCAGCAAAGGGTGGTTTTAAGAAACGGTTCCTTAATAGAATACCGTACCTTTTATATATATTATTTATTAAAGAAATAACGTTATTTCTTAAGCAATTATTGCTTAAGTAACTACCGTTTTTCTTTTAAAAATTGTTTTTCTTTTAAAAATTATTTTTCTTTTAAAAATTGTTTTTTTTTAAAAAATTGTTTTTTTTTAAAAAATTATTTTTTATTAAAAATTATTATTATGATAAAAATTAAATTTATTAAAAAAATTATTTTAATTATATAAATTATTACTAAAATATTATAAATTTTTAATTTATTTTTATTAATATTATAATTAATAAATTTTTTATTTTATATAAATTATATTTAAGTTATTAATTGGAATTAAATATAGTTTAATTGGTTTAATAATTATAATTTTAATAATAAATAATTTATTAATTAATTTTTATAAAATATTTAAATTAATAAATTTATTACAAATATTAATATAATATAAAGATATAATAATTGTAAAAATATATTGTTTAATATAAATATTAAATAAAAAAATATAATTAATATAAGCAAAATTATTTAGGTTATAATATTAAATATAGTTATTTTTATTAAAAATAAATTATTTTTTAATATTATTATATTTAATAAAAAAATTAACTTTATTTATAAACGTATAAATATTATTTATTATTAATTAAAAATAAATTTATATATTTATTATATTTAAATGTTATAATTTTATATATAAAAATAATTATTATTATAATTATAATTTTAATAATATATTAATTGGAAGTTAAATTTAAATATAAAAAATAAATTATTATATTTAGTAAATAAAGGATTTTTATTGAAAATAAAATATTTAATACGTTAAATATTTTTTAATAAAATAAAATTAATAATAATTAAATTAATATATATATTATTAATAAATATAAATATTTTTAATTTTATATTTTTTTTATTTATAATATTAGTTAAATTGTTTTAATTAAAATGAGATAAAATATATTTTAATAAATTTAAATATTTTTAATGTAGTTTTTATAATTTGGTTATAAAGCTTAAATTTTATTTATTAAACGCGTTTTAAATAATAAATTAAATGGCGAGTTAAATGTTAAATTTTATTAATATTATATATTTAATATTAAAATAATTAATTTAATATATATTAATTTTAAAATATTTAAATAAAATTATATATATGTTAAATTTATTAAATTAAATAAATATATTAATATATTAATATAAATTTTTTTTAATTAATATATTAATATTAATAATTAAATTATATTTTTTTATAAAATTTATATAATGTATAATAATATAAATATTTGGTTATAATATATTATTTAAATATTAAATAAATTGTTTAATTATATTTTTATTAATATATTTAATAAGTGTTTTATTTAATATAATAT